ACTTAGCCTTGCTGCTGCCTCAGAGTTTATATCTTCCTTTCTTCTTCAGGGGACTTTACCACGGCTTCATGACCAAGAAAACAATGCCTTCAGCACCAGAATACAACTTTACTGGCCACTTAGGCCAAAGGACTGGTCCTCTTCACTCTTGGAGGAAAAAGTGACATTTCTTACTGCCAAATAATGTCAGAATGCAAAGATATGTCTTAAGCATAAGGACCCTAAAAACCCTATATTTGCAAGTTCAAATTCAGGACAGTGACAGAAGCTGAAATAACACCATCACTTCAGTAAGAGGTTTGGATGTGTCATTGAACCCCCCAGATGAGTAGTTGAATACACTGATTCAACCATCTCAAAGAAAATGTCTCTGACTTGTCATGGGTCAGAACATCACCACTGTCTCATTGTTTAATGTCTCCATGACTAAAAATCTTCCCCAAAATCCTTGTGTTGGCAGTGTCTCATTTCTAACAAAACCACAGGTATCCTGGTCTGAGGAGTCTTTTCACACCCCCGATGGGATGCTTGATGTCATTACATCAAAGTAACTGTAGCTTTCAGAAAGATCTTTTCCTGTCTGTAACATATCTGCTGTGGGATTCAGTGGATTTTGCATCAACTGCAGACCTTGTCACAGCCTGCCACAAAATGGCTGAAATGATCCATTATGAAAGGTACAATTTTGTTCCTAGGCAGTCTTTACAGCATCTCTAAAAATTTCTTATTCTCACAATCAAGCAGCACCTAGAAATTTCTGCCAGTCCCTAATGTGGTATTGCCCATCTCCATGGAACAAATCATCCTAGAAGAGATGTAGAGGCATGTGTGAGATGAGGTAATCCAAGACAGCCAGTATGTCTTCACCAAGGGCAGATCGTGCCTGATCGATCTGGTGGCCTGTGATGACATCAGTGAACAAAGAAAGGACAACTGATGTCATCTACCTGGACTTGTGCAAGGCTTCTGACAAGGTCCCACACCACATCTTTATCTCTAAATTGGAGAGATATTTGCACTGGCATGTTTTTAATGATGTTCTAAAAACAGTCCAATTATTTGTGTGTTTTAGGAAGTACAGTCTATATAATTTAAAACAACATAGTCCAGACAGACAATTTACTTCATATTCTTGGTTAGAGGATTCCTTGCAAGCATTACCGTTCCTAAGTACCATGTTGTTTACACAGTTTGGGTTCAGTGTATAAGATCACACTTCTAAGTTTTATCTCCACCAACAACGTACAAAATGAAGCATTTATTACTAGATTAGATGCTGACAGAAAACTAGAAATCACTGCAACATGAACAAACTGCCTGTTAGATTAAAAACGTAAGTTTCACAAGAATAATAACAAAACTTCACTCACTGAATGATGTAACAGAATTGCCCACAACATTCAATCCTGCCTGCAAAAGAAGTAAAATATTACTAGAAATCACATCTGGGAGTGATGGTAAACATTTAGGGAAAATATAAGTTACAAACTTTAATTTCACTTATTTCCACTTTGTCCCGGTTTCAGCTGGGACAAAGTTGATTCTCTTCATAATGTCTGGTACTTAGGCTTTAGGAGAAAAACAGTGTTGATAATACACTAGTGTTTTAGTAGTTGCTGAGCAGCGCTGCACAGAGCCGAGGACATTTCAGCTTCTTACACTGCCCTGCCAGTGAATAACTGGAGAGGAAAAAGGAGCTGGACAGAACCAGGACAGTTGACTCAAACTAGACGAAGGCATATTCCATACTATGTGGCATCATGTAAAAACCACAAAACTGCAGGGAGCTGGCTGGGGGGGGAGCTGCTGCTGCTCAACAACAGGTTCAGCTTTGGTTGGCAGGTGGTGATCAATTCCATTGTGAATCACTTGTTTTGTAGAGAGACATTCATGTGTATATCTTTTTATCATTATTTTTAATCCTCTCTTTCTTTTTGTTATTAGTATTTTTTATCTCAATTTACAGGTTCTACTTTTTTCCCCCAATTCTCTCTCCTGTCTCCCAGAGAGGTGAGGTGGGGTGAGCAAAAGGTAGTGCAGTGCTGAGTTGCTGCTAGGTTTAAACTCCACACATTTGCAACATAGATGTCAAACCAGTTATTCAGAGTAGCATAAGGCAAAACAAACAGCAGTCCTGACCAAAAATCACTGGACTGACAAGGCAAAAACTGATCAACAGAGGCCATTAAGACTGTCTTCATGACATCCTTGAGGACAGCAGCTGCACTACCAACCAAGACACAGTTCCTGCTAGGGCTGATGGAAAACAGAGCACTGACTTGTGCTCACTGTCTGACTGTAGAGAAATGGCATTTAGTCCATCCATGAAACTATTTCCTTCTATTTTCCAGTTGTCTTCCAGTACACTGAGAGATTGGAGAAGGCTCCGAAGAGGAGATAATATATATAATGGCAAGGATGCTATCACTGCTTTCCAAATCTGCAGGAAATTTTTGGGAAAGCCCAGAAGAGCTCATACAATACAGAATAACACAACTAAATTGTTACTACATTAATCACAGTTTGTGCAAATACAAAAAGTAAAACTGCAAACAAATCATTTTATTCTTGTGCACAACTTCAGCTGTGCAAAAATCATTTTACACCGATCCCATAAATAGCCTGTGAAACACAAAAATTCTTGCTTATTTAAGGAATCACTACATATGTTTACATGCCTGATACAGGAATGGATTTGAAGTGTGAGAGTGTGTTGTTCTAGGAGTTCTGGAAATAAATCAAGAATTGCTTCAGGCTATCAGATTTCGGGATGAGAATGTCACAAGAGGCTTTCCGTTGGCTGGGGGATGGGGGAAGACTTGATAGTTCATGCCTGGCAAGACCTATTTACCAGAAGAACTCTAATGATCTGACAGGACACCAAAACAAGAAAGAAAGGAGGAAAAAAAAAACAGTCTTTTGATGCTCCTCTCACTGGAGTCTAGTTTCACTTAAACTCCTGTTGTCAAACACAGACTTCTTATAAGGATACTGAAGCAGAGATAACCATAAAGATACTCATTTCAACATCCATAAAAATACTAACATCTAGTTATACAACATTCTCACATCAAGACGAGCACCTGGAACCATAACCTGAAGAGAAAGCAGAATGTGACAAATTTTAATGCTTTTCTTCTTAGTGAATAAACGGTACCTTTCACCTGTCCTCATGCTTTAAGAATGGTTTGAACATAGAAAAGCCTGCTAGGAAAGCCTCCTAAGTGTAGAGACTACCAATGGGAGAAAGAGTAACACCACAAGTATTTAAGGTTGCAGGAAAGTGTGCCAGCTGAATATAGGAACTTAAGTAATAAGCTTAAACTGCAGGCAAGATAAATACCTATCAGAATTATTCAGTGATTGATAGTTGATTTTGTCTTGAGGAAAGGAAAGTACTAAATGACCTCTGAAAAGCTCTTCCAGCTTTACTTTCTGCTATCTATAAAATGCGCAGGTTGCTCCAAAAGTAATGCCTCCTACTTATTTCCATAGGAAAAGATGCAAAGTACACAATAATACTATTTAGTAGCACACATTCTCAGCTACAAAGCACTATTTTTCAACATAGTCACCACCATTAGCCATGCATTTTTGCCAGTGATGAACAAGAGCCTGCATGCTGCACTTGTAACAGTCTGCACCAGTGGAGGTGATCCACTGTCACTGAAACACATCACTCACCACCTCACTATGTTCACATCAACCGTTTGGTCTCCATCAGTGTTCAGCAAGCATCAATGAATGTCAGTGGGCTCCATAGCAGAATTCAGTGACATTTTTCTTCACACACATTTTATGTCAGCCACTATTTTGTCAGACTGCCCCTCTGCTGCCATCTGTCACATGGCAAAGAAAATGTAATGGGATATTGGTGGGAAGGTTCAGTCTCTACTGCCATACCACCAACATGCACCTGTGATGCTGTTGGCCAATATAATAAAATAGAAGGCATTACTTTCAGAGACAGCTTCGTACATAACATACTCAGCTGGTAACAGAGCAACAGCTGAGGATATTAAACAATTTCAGGACGTAAATCAAACACAGAGACTAGAATTAAACATGTGAGATAAGAGGTTATCTCCCACTACTGTTTAGAAAGTTCTCGATCCTTCCCATTAGCAGATCATGCAAGCCAGTGACTGAAGCAGGATATCGGTCTAGACACCCTGCTCATACTCATACAGACCCGGCCAATCTGCCTACTGCTCTCATGAGCAAACTACCATGAAGGTACACTCATGTTCGACTGAAGGCTGTGCGTTGTATCAGAATTACACATTACACAACAGCCTAGCACAAGTGGCAGGAAGCAGCTCTAGTGTACACTGTGGACATCCGGTACGTTACCCAATAAGAATGGCCGGAGACACCTAACAAGGTGCAAGCCTGCGAATGTGGCACTTACACCTGTTTCTTCTTACTTCTGAACCGGAAAATTTAATCTGAAATCAAGAGGACATTTGACAGTACCTAAGTCCTTTTTGGAGACTTAGTGAATCACGGCACACAGGAGCAAGCACACCAACCATGCGTATCCCCTCACAGCCCCGCATTCCACGAACACGTCTTCTAGGGGGCTGATCCTGATAAGAGCGCTCGGCTAACACGGCTGTCGATAAGCCCTGCGCTACGGCCTCCCGCGCTCGCGGGGCAGCTTGCGAAACACCGGCAAGGGCCGCCGGCTGCCGGCCGGCCGACAGGGTCGGGAAAAGCTCCCAGACGGAGCGGCGCGGTCCGCGCGTCTCCGCCAGCGGCCACCGCGCAGGTGGGAGCCGGGGGGGCGGCGAGGCGCCAAGCAGCGGGCGGGGAAGCGGGGAAGCGGGGAAGCGGGGAAGCGGCTCAGGATCCGGCCCCGCCGCGCCTCGCGCCCGGCTCCCGGCATGGGCCGCCGCCTTACGGGAAGCTCCGCCCCTCGCCCCTGCAGGCGGCGTCAGCGCCCCGCGCGCCAATGGCGGCGGCCGCCGGGAGGGACGGGCGGTGGGGGCGGGGAGGACGTAGTCGGGCGTAGGGCCTCGCGTGCGGGACGGCGGGGCGGCGGCGGGGCCGTTATTTAGGGCTGGCGGCGGGGCGCCGGGAGGCGGTGCCGCACGGCAGGTAAAGCGCGGCGCGGGGTGCGGGAGGGGGCTCGCGGCCGCGAGGCTGTTCTCTTTCGCTCCTTCGTCCCCGTCTCGCCGCCCCGTTCTATCTGCGGTTCTAGGGGGGGGGTCTCGACGCGCCCCTCCCGGCGAGGGCGGCCGTCGGTCCGTCGGTGGGCCGCTCCGCCCGGGGAGCCGCCGTGCCGTGCCGGGGCCGGGCTCCGCGGGCCGTGCCGTGCGCCGCGGGCGGGCCTGGTGGGTGGGCGTGCGGCCAAGGCTCGCTGCGAGGGCGGGAGCGAACGCCGCGCCGATCGCCTGGCCATCGTTTGTCCTCGCGGCCCGGCCGCCCCTCTGCAGCTTTCCGGGCCGGAGCCGGCGGTGCGGGCCCCGGGAGGATCGCCGCTTCTCGCCGCTTCTCGCCGCCGTGGGCTGTTGCCCGGAGGCGCGGAGCGGCTTTGCCCGCTGTGGGGCCGGGGGTTGGCTGCGGATCCCGTGTGCTGGGAGTGCCTCGGCAGTGCCGCTCCGGCCTGGGCCGGTGCCGTTGGCGTGGCGAGCGGGTTATCTGTGTTTTCCTCCGACGGTGCGGCGTGCTGGCGCTCCTAATGGAGGTGCTGTGCCCCACTCGTGGCTGCGTCTTTCGGACGTATGTTTTTCAGATGTCCTTAGGTCTCGTAAGATTGAACATATCGGCACGTCTCTTCTTTCTCACTGAAATGTGCTTCGCGTTGTTGCACGTACTGGTCTTTCATGTATCTTGTAGGCCAGAATGTAGAAAACTCGCCATCATGGAAGAGATACACGTTTTGTTTTACATTGGGCCCAACGGCGAGAGCATAGGCAGTTCGTGACGTGTGGGTGCAGTGTGCAGGCTGGGTCCTTTTGCACATGCAGTGTGTCCCTGAACTCCACCTGTCCCTGCAGTGGGTCTCTGACAGTCTTCCTCAAGAAAACTGTTGTCAGTATTTCCATCTTACAGTTGATGAAATTCAGGCACAAAGGAGAACGGTTTGCCAAATGGACTGGCAGTGGAGAGCAAATAAATTCCTGTCTCATAGTTCTCACCCTTGTTTCAGGCTGACTAGGCGGCTGCCAGCTGGTTGCTATTTGTTGCTTGTTAGATATCTCTGACAGAGAAACCAGGTAGAGTCCGGTAGAGTTACAGTTTTGTTACTGGTGTTCTGTGCTGCCATTCAGAAGGGGGAAAAAAATAGAGGTCTACAAATGGAAGAGTTCAGACACTTGGTAAAATTAAGAATCTTAATCCTCTTCATACAACATAAACTTGGTTGTGCTTCTCATCCTAAATGTTGCTAATTTCAAAGGAGTAATGATTCATAAAAGGTATCATCTGCTGAAATCAAGTAATTTCTGAATTTAACAAGCTATAGTTGTTGGTATATTGCAACAGGAAGGTGAGAGAGAGAGACAATGCAGCAGGGCATAAGCAATCCAGGAGATTCCTGGAGTATGCTGGTACCAGTGGTCGTGTGAACCTGTACCTCATACTCACCAGTAATTAGAAGTTAATTGGGAATGCAAAGGTCAAAGGCAGCCTTAGCTGCAATGACCACAAGGCTGTAGAGTTCAGGATCCTTGGGTCAGGGAGGAGTGTGAAAAGTAATATCCCAACCTGCTCTATAGGAAGATAGACTTCAGTCTCGTCAAAAATCTGCTTGGAAGAATAAAAATTGCCTGGGTAAGGCTGTGGGGGATAAGAGGAACACAAGAAAGCCAAGTTTGTACTGAAGGATCATCTTTTCCAAGCTCAAGAGCAGTGTATTCCCATAAATAGGAAGTTAAGTAAAAGCCTGCGTGGATGAGCAAGGAGCTCTTGACCAAACTCAAACACCAGATGGAGTCATGCAAAGGAGTGGAGGCAAGGATGAGGAAAAGAATACAGACGTTGTTCAAGCATCAGAGGATTAAAAAAGAAAGCAAAAAGTTAAATTTTAAATGGAATTAAATCTAGCCAAGGGATATAACACATGTCAGAAAAGGCTTCTGTGAGTACATTTTTTAATTAAAGGAAGACTAGGAACTTAAGTGTGGGCTGTTTCAGACCTTCACTAAGATGTCTGACACTGACCACCATAAGAATCTCAGACAAGCTGTTGGTGTATGCGTGGACAGTGAAGTGGGTGAAAACCTGTGAGCATCTGGGCCCAGAGAGTGATGATTGGTGGTAGAAGGTGGAGTGGCAGTGACTAGTTGCACGCACCATGCACCACACTGTTTCCATTCCCGTTTTATATGTTGATGATTAGCCAGAGTGTACTTTCATTGTATTTGCAGATGATCCAGTACTGGGAGATACTGTCATCCAGAGGGACCACAGTAGCCTCGAAAAGTGATCTAATAGGAGCCATTGCATTGCAGTTCAGGAAGAAATGCTGAGTCTGTACATGGAAGAGAAGAAACCCAGGCAACAGTACCAGCTTGGAGGTTACCAAGCTGAAAAGCAGCCTGGCATAAGAGAACAGAGGGTCCTGGTGTACATGAAGCAACAGATTGTGCCACAAAGTAGGATACTAGTACCCTGGGCTGCATTAAGCAAAGTGCTACCAGCAGGTCTAGAAAGGTGATCTCTTTTTTTCTGCTCAGCAGTGGTGAGGCTCCATCTGGAGTAGTGTTCTGGGCTCTGCAGTACAAGAGACACGTGGACATGCTGAAAAGAGTTCAGTAAAGGTCAATAAAGGTGGTGAAGGAGCTACAGCATCCCATGTGACATTAGTCTGAGAGAGAGCTGGGATTGTTCAGTCTGGAGAAGAGAAGGCTTGAGGGATCTTATCAATGTATCCTCCATTTATTTTTAGATAAAGTGGATGGAACCACTCTTTTCAGCAGTGCCCTGTGCAGGATAGGAGGCAATGGGCACTAACTGGAACACCAGACAGTACTTCTAATCTGTGCAGCTGGTGGAGAACTGGCATAGGTTGCCTGGAGAGGTTGTAGAGTCTTCTCCTCAGGGATCTCCAAAAGCTGCATGCACATGAGCCTAAGCACAGTGTTCCGGGTGGTCTTGCTTGAGCAGGGGGGATTGGACATGGGGGACCCAGATATCCCTTCCAAACTAAACAATAGAGGTTATTCTATAGTGGAGCATTGATACCTTCAGTATGAAGGTGAATTTCAGAGTATACTATGTGTGTAAGGTTATAGAATCATGGAATGGCTTTGGTTGACAGGGACCTTAAAGCTCACTGTTCCAGCCTTCTGCTATTAGGGTTGCCACCTAATAGATGGGGCTGCCTAGGACCTCATCCAGCCTAGCCTTGAACGCCTTCAGGGAGGGGGAACCCACAGCTTCTTTGGACAGCCTCTTCTAGCACCTCACCACCCTCTGAGTAAAGAATTTTCTCCTAATGTTTAAACTAAATTTCCAATTTTAGTTATTTAAGATTTTCAAGTGATTCTCTTTGAAAATGTGTTTGAGTCTCATAAGTATGGCCAAGAAGGATGTAAGCTTGGAGGAGGGAAGGAAGCTTGCAGATGAAATACTCCTAATTAGAAAGCAGTTACAGTTTGAGTAATCAGAAGTACTTGAGGATAGATGTAGCTTTTGGATTGGTTTTAAGTACTCCTTTGCTTGTTATGAAACCTCAAGCAGTAGCTCTGATTTGCAGTATAACTTCTGTATGCAGCTTCCTCGCTCTGCTTACCAGAGATATGTGGATTGTGGGTGAGAGATTACTGCTTAAAAGTGTAAGCTTGACTCTTTTTTTTTTTTTTTTTCTAGAAGTTCCTCATAAACAGGAATCTGTTTGCCAGCAGCCTTTGAGCTTCTGTGATTGACCTGGTGTTTAGCCTTACTAGACCTAACACCTCCCTGTGGAGTCCTAGTGTAACCTATGCTGCCTGATTTGTAAGTGGAATTCTCTGGCAAGATGAGGCCACTTTGCTGTAGTTTCTTTAACTGAAATTGTCAGTTGTGTGTAGAATTGTCAGTTGAATTGTCATGTTATTCATTTGAGGATTTTTTTCATAATTTATGAAATAAGATTAAAATAATAAGTTTTTGTATCTTGCTTAGAATAAGTAGAGCCACTCCTTTTCCTTGAATCCCTGATATTTCTTCAGAAAGTATTTTAAAACTGTGATAACCAAATGCTGTTGCTACTCCAGGCATATGGTGCTTGACTGCAGGCAGGTTTCTAGATTTCCATAGAGCAGTGTTTGAGCTGTTGGTTTAAAGACTCAGGTGCCAATGCTGCTTAGTGTTTTGGTATCAAAATAGTAGGGAGATGTGAAAAATAATAGAAGTCCTGTATGATTTAGAAATTAAATTCAGTGATTTTATGGCATATGCATTTCACATATATTTATTTACTGAAGTAATCTCCACATTTTAAACAGTTCTTTTCCTCTTAAAAATAACAATATGTGAGTTAGAAATTGCCACAAGTAGTTCTAAAATGATCATATCATTTCTGTTTTTACTATGGTGATATTTTCCAATATCCATTTCTTTCTCTGCTTCCCTTTCTTCTTTACTTAGCTTTGTAGCTATCTAAGCTTGGCTAGGAAAAACTGTTTTAGTGGTCTGGAACAAGTACATAGTGTAGATAAATTGCTGATCTAGCTTTTTTTCCTAAAGAAGCAGCTTCTGAACAGACTGCCTTTGCCAGCATTAGTTCAGTGTCAGGTTGAACTTTCACATTCGATTCCAAACAAAAAGCAACCCGTTTGTAAAACAAGATTTCTGGCTGTGCCGCCTAATTGCTGAGTCTGAGTTTTCTTTCATACAGACCTGCTACTTAGTCTGACGTACAAAGCTGTTAGCAGTAAACAATAAGTATTTAGTAGTATGTCTCTTTGAATGACACCATCTTGCCAAGTTTTGTGTACTTTGCTTATATGCAAGTTTTCTGTACTAGCAAACCTTTACATGCTTGGATTAGAAAGCAAACACCTGTAGAAATCTCTTCCATACTGTAAAGCATGGCTGTTTGTTTTGTTAGGTATTAGGCCCATAAATTTTTTCTACAACTTTCTTCTAGGCAGGATGAATGGATCTGTTCAGTGTAACTTGGATTCTTTCCTCTGCAATTAAATTTCACTTAAGAATCAATCTTATAAAAAGATAAATTAATGTTTTGTTTTAAAAATAACACGCATTAGAGGGCATTGTAGTAGCCTATTTGTGGACTCAGGTGTCTGCAGCTTAAATCTTGTAACTGGATTAATTAGCAGGGGGAAAATGTCAGATCTATCTAGTTTTAGGCTGTTCTGATATATGCTGAGCTCAGTGTGATTTTTTGAAGATAAGTTCACATCTGCTTGCTTCATTGTAGTGTAGGCAAGTGGGATTTCCAATTAAATGTTCCTTTGCAGATGATGGAGCATGCCTCTGAGTTCTCCTGCCTTTCAGGAGCTGAGTACAGTGAAATGATATTATGAGTTCTGGAGAGATGGTTGTTTTGGTGGTTTGTTTTTTTTCCCCCTCCCTTAAAATGAATACTAAGCTCTCCAAAGTGCAGAGTAGCAGGGAATCAGACCTCAGGTTTCTAATGTGTAAATCAGATTATGCACAGGACAAGTAAGTAGGGAAAAGAGTTGAAGCTCAGTAATGGTGTTTCTTTATATGAAAACAAAATAAGATTAAGTCATCTTATACTGAGCTTCAACTCAAGAAAAAAAATTATACTTCAGAAGAGATGTTATAATTCTATGTTGCTGTTAATTTCTGATTTGGTTTTTGTTATTTATGTTGGGTTTATGTTCCTTTAGGTGACTCAGATCTTTTCTCTGATTAGCCAGAGCCATATTTAAGTTAACTTAGTGGTTTTAACATCAGCAATTTTTGACTTAGCCTTGTGAATTTGTTGTCTAACCTGAAATAAACAGTTACTAAAAGGAAAACTAACAACTTCACAATGATGCAATACTTAGCTGATGTTACAGCTTTTTTTTAATATGTCACTAATAATGATAGCAAACGTTTTTGTTGTTTTGTTTGTTTGTTGAGCTTCAAAACCTTCTCCATTGCAGTGTTTTAAAGCTATTTAATTTAAATCATCTTGATTTAATAACAATAATAACAAATCTTAAGGTTTGTACTGAAAGTACAACAAGCTTCAGGTAGCAAGTGACCTTCTGATAAACATTAGAGTATGTTAAGACATTGAAAGAGGTCACTAAGTGCAAGTATTCCCTCATTGGATTTAAGACCAAAGCCAACAGAATGCGATTGGTCTTGCTCACTGCCTGGATCTACTTAAATTTATGGAACCAATTGGGATTTAAAACGCAGAGAAAAATGGATGCATAAAAATCTAATTTCTTACATAGCAAAGGATGCAACTAGTGAACAGAAATCAGTTGCTTTATTTTCGCTGTACGCTTGCATTTAGTTTATCTAAAGATTTGCTGCGCTGAAAACCATCTGATGGTTTTCATACCATTATATATTTAAAATGAAAAAGCTTTCTGATTCTGAACTCCATGCAGAGTCTGATTACTGCTTAACAGTAATGTTATTTATAAATAAATATCTAGTGACAGTTATAAATACCAAATTACCAAATCTTCTAGTCAGCTGTATTTGTAGTATAGAATTTTATTTAATAATTTTTTATCTTTGAATAATGATTTAACGTATGGATGTATATATTCTGCTAAATAGCTATTATTTTAGTCCAAACTGTAATACATCTGTGTTGATAAGACTGCTTTAGAGGTTTGAGATTAGCTTTTGTTCAGTTGTTAGCTTCTAATTCCCATGAAATTAAATTTTCTTTACATCATACTACTTAGCTTTTTTTTAAATTTGCGAGCTTAGGTATGCTGATGTGTAAGTAATATGAAGTCCAGATTGATATTGATACATTTGTACATAAATGATTTATACAGTCTCATTCTAGCATGGCATATATAAGGCATGGCTTGCATCTTCTTGTAACTGCGGAACTGCGTATAGCAAAAAACAGGAGTGTTTTCTGTTACATGCTGCAGTTTCCTTTCCCTCTGGTATTAGCAATTTCTGCTTTTCTTTTCTAGAGGATACTGTGGAGTTGTTTTAAACTTCTTATCGAGTTTCCTTTTATTGGGATTAAGTTCAGAGTAATTTTCAAATAAGTTTTGTCAGACTGGTGAAAACTTCAGAAGCTGAACTGAACCTAGCATTTCTAGAATTATTCTCATAACTAGAGAATCTAGGTTTAGTTCTAGTTATGAGAATGATGTTTTTAGAAATAATGTTGTGGACTGGATGCTACATTTGAGTAGGCAAACCGCATAGAGGTGATTAAACATAATATAGCTTGCTTTTATTAATTTGGACTATTTCCTAACTGAGAGTTAAGAAGACGAGAAGAGATTGGCCTCAAAAGAATTGAGGTGAAAGCTGACCTCTGGCTTCAGTTTCTTTGAACTGTTCTGTGGACTTCTCAAGACTGAGAGGAAGAGAACTCTGCTGTAGTTTAGAAATAGCAAACATGGAAACTTAAACAGCTTTTGAGAAATTAGAAGCTCTTGCAAGTATTGGACGAGCTAGGTAGTGATTTTTCTGTGGCAGTCAGAAGTTCTCAAGGTGAAAGCTGTGCTTCATAATTCTTAAGTAATTTAAGTGTGAATGAGATACTTGGTTTTGTGGTCTGTTATTCTGAACCTTAACATAAGGTGCTTATATCAGCATCTTTGAAAGCTAGGGAATGGTAATCATAATCAAATTCCCAGATTTTGTTTTAAAATCTGAGTCATGGTGTTATGCTGTTAGAACAACTGAACTCCTACAGAAGTACCAGTGAAGTTTTTCATGTATGATAGCTTTTCCTATGTAAGTTAAGAGACTTTGAACTCCATCAGTTGTCTTAAATAGATGTTGAGCTTGTTTTAGCAGTGAGTAGAATGGAAAAAAAAAAAAAAAAATGCCCATTCTTTTCCTGGAGAGTAAAAAGATAGTACTTCTGGAGGGTCAGAGAGGAAGAACAGTATACCTAAGAGATTGTCATAGAGCAAATAGGAATTTGAATCTGACCATGATCTAAAGGGAAGAGTAGCTGCTTAAAGAACTTTTTTTTCCATTCATCTCTTAACAGGAATTCTGTCCAGCATGTTTTCTGGGTGGAGCTGGACTGTCTATTGCTTGTATCTGTTCTTGAATATTTGCTCCTTTGAAGGTAAGTCATCCATTTTAAGCATAATAGATTTACGGAAGTTCTTTAATCGGATTGAAGCACACATCTGCTTTTGCTTTAGGTACGTTGCAGGTTTGGGGCAGAGAACACAAGATCTATTAATATCTAGGCTATGTTCTTTATCTTGCAGTGAGGTAATGCAGTGTTTAACTAATACACAGCTCTGCTTCTAGTTACAGCCGTTTAATGTAAAGAGGCAGAGAAACTAACTCACATCAGTAACAGCTTGCTCTTTGGGGTCACTGTAGCAGACTGCAGTGGCGGTGTAAGTCCTGTAATGTGATTTCTGTAATTTTAAATGCAATATTGCTTCAAAGTTGTTGGTTTTTATTTTGCATATGCCAGGTGAAATCTAAATGAAAGCTTACCTTGGTCAGACTAAGCAGCTGTTAAAGTAGTAAGCTTTCAGTGAATTAGTTGTGGTCTCTGTCATCAACTGGAACCATGGGCCACTTCTGTTGTGTGGGAAATGATCATTCTAAATTCTAGGCTGACATTTGTATGCCTATGTAGCAATAATCACATTTTTATTGCTGAATGTGTAAAAAAAAAAAAAAAACGTGTTTGTTTACCTTCATTCCCAAATACTCTTGTACATATCAATGATTCTGAAATAGGTAACTCAAGTATTCAACTGTTTGCATTCTTCTACAGTTAGTCTTGCTGCAACGAAGGTGCACGCCTCAGATCTTGTTGTTAACTCTCAACATTAAATAACTTCTTATATGCAAGAGTAACTTCAGTTTCTTTGCCCTTCAGTATATACTCAAAGTTTCTGTCCTTGACTTTTCTCTCAGTCTCTTTAAAAGCCTGTGGTTATCTGAGATTTTCCTGCTTGGCAGAACTTTTTTTTTGGAAGCTTAAGTAATGGTAGACTGGTTGTGCCCCTCAGGACTGTTTTATAACTGTCAGGTAACTAGTTTCCTGCTTAGTCAGATGTAGTAATATCTTCAATATTACAGCAGTGTTGTAACAGCAGTTATTGTAGAGTGCACTGTTGTTTTTTTTACATGTTTTTTTTTCTAGTTTCAGGTGGACTTGTACAGTCATGTGGTCACATCATTCCAGAGTCTCCAGTGTTGGCCCTGGGTTCCAATTTCACAGCATTGTGCATTTTGAATGAGAGTTGCCTTGACTTTGGCAATATATATGCTAGTCAAATTATATGGAAAATGAAAAATAAGGTGGTACCTAAAGAACAATACCGTGAAATAAACATAACTGTTTCTAGTGTCACATTTAATGACACTTCTTCTCTGGCTTCTCCACTGACATGCAACGTTTTAGCAGATGGACAGATTGAGCAGAATATTTATGGAATTTCAGTTACAGTAGGCTGTAAGTACTGTTTTTCTTGAGCTTAATTCTTGTTTCAACAGTAGCTCCCAAGAAAGTTGCTTCTGTGAAAAAGGGAGAAGAATGAAAAATGTGTTCAGTCACCGTTATGTTTATTTCCAGTCCCTCAACTCCTGGATAATTATATTAAAATACTATAAAATCTCTGTCATCAAAGCTGGTAAATAAGCATAGAATAGTTTTCTGAAAAATGGAAAATATTCTGGAGTATTTCATGCAGATAAAAGTGTTTAAGCAGCCTTGAATTTCAGAAAGAAGATAGGAATTTAACTGAGAAAAGGTCCTGCAGAGAAATCGAACTTTCCTTGATTTCTTTTTTCCCCCCTCCCCTCCGCACTGTGCAAGGAAGTGCAATAATTTATAAATACTATTTTCATAATAGCATAACAAGCTTACTATTTCCTTCATTAGTGGACTGAGAAATATCTAGTCCATCTGTACCATTAAATTAAACCTGAGCTGCCTTTTGAAGGAAAGATCCTTCTTGAATTAGTGTACTCTTAGAGATAAGAAAGCACTCCTAATTGTAAACTTTCCTTACTCAATCTAGATTGCACTTGCATAGTTCTGAGCAAGTATTCTTTCAGACAAGACTTAGTTGTGATATTAATGACTTACTTAATTGGTGAACAGTTCATAAAATGCTGGATAAGAGTTTCTGTGTCCTGAATTCCTTTCTGAGTATAGCCGGTGAATTTACGTTGCCTCCTAATGTTGGCAAGAAGGTAGTGGAGTTACTGTGTGAATTCTATACAAAAGACTGCTTTAGCTTTGCTATTTAAGTTAATGCAATTCTGAGTTTTATGAATTGAAACGATTTTGCAGAAAAGCAGTTTTTCTTTACTGCTTCTGATCAGTACATTTCCTCCCAAGAGAGGTGGAACAGATGAAATATAGGGAAAGTAGAGGACATCTGGAATATCCTGTGATAAATTAAATGACATACAGATAACTTGAGTTATAATCCACGTGTGAATTTTGAGGTGCATAGTTGTTTTCATTCTGTCAGTGTAAGTCCTATGAACAACTGAGAGAAACTGTATATTTCAGAATAGTACAAATCCTGAAGAACAAAATTGTATGTTTGTAAGTTGGTAATTGCTTAAAATAGGATCTTCTGCTTGAAAAGAAGATAAATATATTAGACTGTTGTAAATGGTGCAAAAAGCTGTAAGCAAACCCAGTGTTATCTCTGTATGCCATTATTTGAATTCAAGAAGCAAAAAAAAAAAAGCTGCTCTTTGAAAATTTCTTACGTACTATTGAAGTGTGCTAGTGAAGATTGTGTATCTTCCTTGTAGGTAATTGGGACTAATATGGGTTGAGTGAGAAGACATATAATAATTGCCTTATATCTCAAGTTACTGGCAAAATCAGCATATGCCATTGCAGCTCCAGTACTCATCATCATTTTTGTTCCGTGTCATTTAAAATGTGTAGCATGGTAGATGAGACGGCTGATACTTTTATCTGCCTTGTATCTGTTTGTTACTTTGTGAGGCATTTGCTCCTTGTTTTGCTTATGGTTTCTCAGAATAGATGCTTAAACGTAATGACTTTGGTTTTCCTCCTCCTTTAAAAATACATGTGACTGAAAATACTTCTGGTGCCTTCTGAAGTTGCTGTAACAGAACATGTAGCATGATTCTTATGGAATTGTGTACATGATGTAATGTATATATTAATTATTGCTAATTCTTTTTGTACAGTGCCCCCAGAGAAGCCTGAAAACTTAAGTTGTATTGTATATCAGCTATCAAATCTCAGATATCCTATGAACTGTACCTGGAATCCTGGAAGGCATACATTTCTGGACACTCATTTTAGATTGAAATACAGGTGGTAAGTAGCTCTTTATATAACATCTAAACAATTTTAAGCAATTTTTGTAGGCTAAACCAAACTTCCTTGATTTGATACTTTGAAATCATTTTTAAATTCAGTGTTCTGAAACATTGCTGCCTGTTTCTGAGGGGAGGGCAGAGCTAAAGCAGCTCACAGTAATTTAGAACTCCAATTTGAAATTTGTTTACTGCAGTCATTTTACAGCAGCAGCATCTTAATTTTTCTGTTCTTGAAGTATATAACATGATTTGAGAATAGTACACCTAATTGTTATGTGGGTGGACCCAAAATATATTCTGTTTTTCTTAGGTGATGGTTCTGTGCCATTCTAAGTGGTAAAGATAACAGTATATAATAACTGGATTTTGTAGTTGTTTACTGTGTATTCCTTAAGAACTCAGTGTTGTTGGTCCACAGTCTAATCCTAATCTGCAGCAAGAATTTTTCTCCTGTGAAGTCAAATTAAAATGTTTTTCAAACTCATTCAAATGGTGTCTTCTCATGTAAAGAGAACAGACAGATTCTCTCTGGGAATAACTGCCTACAACTTCCCATCTCCCCTGGTTTTTCTAAAGTGCTTTGGTAATGAGTGTGATAGAAAGTATGGGTAGCTGGAAAACCTTAAATTTGAAAACAAAAATCTCTAAGGGAAATAAAATTTTATATGCTTTTCTTTACTTAGGTCACGAGAAAGCTTTCCTGACTGCATACCGAAATCCGTAAATAATTCTTGTACCATTTCTGATGTTCAGTTCTTTGTTAACCTGGAGGTCTGGGTAGAAGCAGCAAATGCTCTTGGGAAGGCTGAATCTGATCGTCTTGTTTTTGACCCTATTGAGATTGGTAATCAATATCCCTAAAGTTTTAATAGTATGCATGACTTCTGTTCCTGTATACATTGCTAAATAGCTATTATTTTTCATTGTAAATATAGCACTTCCAAGTATTATTAGATAGAACTTGAACTGTGCTGAACAAAAATCAGAACTTAGAAGATTTGATTGCTTGTAGAGCCAGAAGTTCTTATGTAGCCTGCTTTAGAAATTTTTGTGAAATAGGAGCCATTTGGGCTTGTGGAAGGCCTTAATGACAGTGTTGCAGCACAGTGTACTAATTGCTAGAGGCATGGAAAAATAATGCAGCTGCAGGGATGACTGACTTCTTCTCTTCTAGTCAAACCACTGCCTCCGCACAACCTATCAGTCAATTCAGGAATACTGCCTACTGTTCTGAAGCTTTCCTGGGAGAACCGGATTTCAGCAGCTGTGATGAAACTGAAATTCAATATTCGCTACAGGATCAGTAGTGATACAAACTGGATGCAGGTAACAAGAATGTCTCTTGTGACTATTCTGCTCTAACTTGGCCATTTGTCAAACTACTGCTGAAGTTTACTTAATGTTTCACCTCATCTTATAATTTATGTGGTATCCCAACGGTTCATTTTGCCTATTTCTGATTTGATGCAAAATTATTTATCTTAATGTAGCTTAGAATGCTGGGACGCTTATTTAAACTGGTTGTAGCTACAAGAGTACAGTCTGGTTGTACAAGGTACAGCAGTCTGGTTGTCTTGAATACGTGCCTTGAGTTTGACACAAGCTGGAAAAAATGAGTTTGTCAAACATGTATAATATACTCATGTCATCAGGAGGTTTTTTTCTTTTACGTTCTTCCCTGGCTATATTTTCAGTAGTTTAACAGTTTTTCCCTTTTTCTTAGCATTCTCTGAGCAGTGATATTCCAGAAATTCGTTTTTTAATAAAAATGTGTCCAGTTTTTGTTTCATTGTATAGATCTAAAAGTATTTTGAATTTCATGATTTCTTGAAAGAGAAGTTGATGTTAACTTTGCAAATGTTGGAGCAGGTAGCATAGCAAACTTCTTGTGACTAGGATAGTGTATCTCTTTCAAGGAATATCTGCTTTAAATGCAGATAACTTAAGGTCTCCTATATTGATATTTTGTGCAACACAATTTTTTGTTCAGAGCAGTTTATCCTGCAACTTCAGAATCTGTTGATCTGTTGTACTGTTAAGTCTTACTTAACTTGTCTTCCCCACTTAACATATTAAATCATAGAACTGCTTGATTAAAAAAGAAAAAAACTACGAAGACCCTCACTTGCAAGTAGAATTTCTTGTGCTGGAGTCAGTGTGTATGAAAACATTAATCTATTATCTATTATATGTTTTTCTACTAACACAATAAGATTTTTTTTTTTGCATTCAGTTGCCATCTTAAAAGGAAAAAAGAATTATGGGGAAAGAAACTCGCTTTTATTAACAAAGTTCTACACTGCTCTAAGAGAAAATGTCAGACTTTCAAAATATTTAAAAGTATTTCCATGTCACTTGCAAAACACTGGAAGTAATGATCTTGAATACTCTAGCTTGATAGATGCCTTCAAGCACAGGTATTCTGCAGTGGTTAATCCAGGAGATACCCATCCTCGTGTTTTGCTGAGCATTACATATCAGTAAGAGGAGTTACAAGAGAAGGAAGAAATTTTGTATTTCTTATGTTTATAAGAGTTATGCAAACAGAAAATAATTTCTATGAAAAGATTCAACAGAACGTAGGAATTATTCTGAGATAGCTGCTTGCCATATTGTGCATATATGCTTCATGATGCACCTGATAAATGTATAGAGCTCTGACTGAACTCCTACCACATCAGTGGTTGAGAATTTAAGCTTTTGGAAATAAAAAGGAGAAGAACAATGTTGTACTGATCCTGTAACATAGCGTTTAAGCTGTTTGAAGTGGATACTCCTCTTGAATGTGAAGCTGCAGTAGTACGGAACTCAGATTTACTTTTTTTGATCAGCTTGTACGACCTTCCTTCCCTTACAGGTTCCTCCTGAAGATACGGCTTCACCAAGAACTTCATTCAGCATTCAAGGCCTCAGACCATACACAGAGTATGTCTTTTCAATTCGATGCATGAAGGAAGATGGAATAGGGTTTTGGAGTGACTGGAGTGAAGAAAAGGTTGGGGTTACAACTGAAGATAGTAAGTAATATTTGGAAACTGATTGCCAACTTTAAAAATATGAGTGCTCAGCAGTTTGACAATAGCCAACTGAAATTCTGCATCCTCATTTGAGCTGCTTGATTTATGTATGCTTGATTCTGCAACAGAATCTGTTTTTTTATGAAAACTTTCTTTCAGTAGACAGTGCCTTAGTCCATGAACAGTTCAGAGCTAAGGAGGCTGTCAAATAAAGTAGTAAGTGAACTAGCATCACTTAATTATGAACAAGAAGATTGTTTTTCAAGCAAAAGCACTTGGAAAAAGAACATGCAGATGGAAATGTGGCCTCTTGTTCACTGAAGCATGTAAATAGAACACTGTTTTAACTTTTCCTGCATCTGTTACGCTTCCTTGCTTGTCACAGTACCACAGCCTAGTTTTGCAGTGACTTGCATCCACTAATTTATGATACTCTGCCCACAGTTGCTACATCTTTCTGCTCATTGTTAGTAGGATAGACATTGATATGGATGGTCTTGAAAAAGAGAACACCATGGATAAATCACTGACTTCAAGCATGACTGAGCCTGTGTGAAGAATGGTTTTACTTGAGCAGTATTTAGTCAAAAAATGATTGTTTTGCCACAATTTCCGTTGTTTATTACAGTTATTTATTTTGTTGACATCCCGTAGATCTAGATTTAACGTAACGTATCCTTTCCCTTTGCAATATGGCTGAACAGTGGTTTGTGGCTACTGTGACTTAGTGAGGAAGACGTTTTACCTGTAGCAGCTCTTAAAGGGCAGTGTTCATATCATATTTAGTCTTGCCATAAAGGACTTGGCAAGCAGGATCATAGAACCATAGAATTGTAGAATGGCTTGGATTGGAAAGGATCTGAAGGATCATCAGGCTCCAACCCCCATACCACATGCAGGCCACCAACCTCTGTATCTCACTCTAGGATGTGCATAGCCTCTATGTACACCAGATATTTCACAATTTACAAACACAAAAGATAGGACATTTAACCAGTAGGCTAAGTTTTAATTTCACAGCCTTAGAGGGGAAAAAGTTGCTGGGGAGTCGAGGGTCAGCTGCCACAGCTTTGCAGGATGAATATCAGCATCATGTGTAAGGTCCATCCACACTGCATCCAGCTGATGAACTTGACTGGCCATGGCCATTCGGCTTTTTGTGGTGATTCAGTCAGCTGTTTCTCTTTTCAATAAACTGTTCTGTATTTGTGCTATTTAATCATAGACTCTGTCATATTCCTTCAGGACAGTGGTACTGAGACTGTTACTGCACTGGGGCATCTTCCATTAAAATACATATTCAGTGCATTCTGTATTTCGTAGCAGCATTGTTTGCTTCCAGTTTCTCATGAACACATACATTACTTGAAAAGTACCCCTCACCTTGCTACTGTATATGTTACCTTTTACAGCTAGTGGAAGTCATACTCCTGCTAATGAGGCACTCCTACAAGTTTGTGTTCAAGTATACAACGACAGTGCCTTCTGCCACTAAGTTGTTGCCAACACTATTAGTTGAGCATACTATGTGTGTTTAGCATTTTTCTGTTATGCTTTTTTATTGTTCTGTAGCATTTTATGCCTTAGCAATTCCTGTAGCAACTGTAAACTCAAATTGCAAAACAGTAAGTGAGCAGTAATTATTGGAACACTGACATTAAAATCACATCCATGTTTGTTACTGCAAAACCTTCTAGGATGTAAGGCTGCATTCTTACATTTTTCCATTAATGGAAAGCAATGTGAAATGTGTACACAAACACAGTCTAAATCTATGCATACTGCTGTTTAATTGGACAACTTTTTAACAGGTTTGCTGCACAGTGCTTATCCACAGGATTCGAACCATTCATCTCCAGATACAAGTCCTGACTTTGTTGATGTTCATCAATGTTCTGTGATCCATTGAACATTTGTCATTCATTTGAATGACCCATATGTTAGACTGAACTAGAACTAACTTAAGAATGTTAAATATTAAGCAGATCTTTTAAGAGGTGCAAAACACTATCTTCTTGAATCTGAACCTCTGTTGGTGTCAAAACACCTTGCATTAATATGTTTCTTGCTACAGCTAAGGTGAACTAATTTGTTGTTAGGGTCTGCTGTGCTTTTAGTAAGTGTTAATACAGTCTCTTCTGCTGGTTTAAACAAACTGCTGTAGTTGTATCTCCTAATGAAAACAGAATATTCAATCTTCCTCTGTATTGCTTGCTAATTAGTCAGTATTTTTGTTGCTTATAGATAAGCTGAGAGTGAAACTTTCTCTTCTGAGTTTGCTTACATCTTCAATGGTGGTCTCACCTCTTGCAAATAGCTAGATAAGGTTGCAAATATATAGGGTAAAAGGATAACTTGAGTAGGAAAGGACTTCAGGAAGTCTCTCATTCTGTCTTTATCCTTTTTCTACTAAGTGCAAGGCTCAGACAAGGAAATCCAGTTCACAGTATCAGCAAAACCTACATGAAAACTTAACTACTACACAGCTGCCTGCTCTGAATGTTAAATGAAACGGCTGGATGTTTAAGTTACTTACGCCATTATTATTGCCTGTGTAATCAAATTAGAAAACTGAATTTTGGGCAGTATGTTTTGTTTAAGACTGTTAAACCAGTGTTCTAAAAAATTGCACAGTGCTTGCATTCTGTGTTCAGAATGTCCTAGTGACATGCTACATTAATGGCAAAGACACAAACGTATGGTATATTGATGCTGAATAGTAATCTGAGAATTCTGACAATTTTGAAATGATTTAGCAGCTTTACTTCATAATCCCTATCAGGAAACATCTATTTTGTACCCACAAATAACAACTCTAGCCAAAGATATTTATGTCCAGCAGAAGATATTTGCTATGTAATTGTGTGTATTACAGTGGTATATCTAGTGATTTCTGGGGATTGTAAGAATAAGTTACCTTCAGAGCAATTTGATTTTTAGAAGCCCGTTTGATTTCCTTGTAAATCATTATCTGCAGAATTGGAAATCACATGCTGATTTCTGGCTTTAAAGAGAAATAAGCACTTTTGGGATTTTAAGCCTTATTTCTCAAGAAACTTGGTCATTATTAGTTAGAAACTTCTCCTTTCCAATTCTTGTATTGTGAGGTGTGAAACCATTGTAATTTGGTTTGGTTCCATTTCATTTCTACTTTGCAATGTTAGCTTTATATCTGTTCTGTAATGATCCTACCCAATATGAAGACAGTGCACTAACTTCTACTTGATAGCTAACAGGAACTTCTTTTTTTTTCTCAGAATACTATAAATACTTTGTGGTATTTGTTTAGCTTTAGTCTTTTTTGTCTGTGCCTTTCTTGGTCTTCCTTCAGCAGTTTCTAATCAGTTCTTTAGTGCCTTCCAAAGCACTTCAGTACCTCTGTCTAAACAGAGTTAAAACAGTAAAGAATTTTCTTTTAAAAAACTACTTCATGCTTATTGTTCTACTGCACTGGGTCAGAAGTCTGTCCTTATTTATCCTAACTGAGCTCTCAGGAAATGAAGTTTTAGGTTGTTTACATTTGAGCAGTAAGAACATCTGTAGGTAGAACCTGCCATTAAGCAGAGTGGAATTCGTATCTATGAAATGACTTACCTTCAGCTCTAGTCAAAAATTATTTTTTTCAGGGGAGGTATTATAAAAGTATTCTTTCAATATCCTAGCCTCTTTTTTCAACTTCAGTGACAGTGCTTTTCTGCTTTCTGTTGCATGGAAGAGATATGTGTTCTGTGGTTACTACCTCAAACTGAGCAATGGGAGTTTCAGATTTCCTGCTTGCTGGACTGCGTTGCTGCTTGGCTGTTGCAGCTTGCTTTGCAAAGGAAAAAAAGTAAACCGCTATTAGTGATCGAGCATCCGTATTTTATTTTTGCCTGAGAGCCAAGGTGTTAAAGTAGGAAAAGAACATGAGGCTGTGTACTGAAATAAGATAAAGAACTTACTTGGCCTTGTTTCCCAGCTCTTTCCTCCTGATGTAGAGCATAAGAGGCAGAGGCAAGATGCATCCTGTAGACTTGACACTGCTTTTTAGACATGAAACTGCCAATCCTTTTAATTATTAAAGCTGAAAATGCAATAAAAGATCTCCCACACAAATACAGTATAGCAAGATTATAAATGTAAATGCATTTCAAGACCTATTTTTTCCCTTATGGTTAAAGTCCTTGCCAAGAATTGGCCACTTTTTCTTACTTTATGCAGTGATAGATCTGTTTTGTATTGAATTGAAACTTACAGTTGAAGTACTACTTAAATTTCTAACAGTACTGACACCAAGAACTATTGTAGCATTGTGCAAAAAATACTGCAGTTCTGTTATTCAAATTCCTCCTACGTTTTTATAATAAAAGGGTATTTTTTCATGGGAGAAACCAGTCCCCTCATTAACTATTCTGCAGTTGCCATTTTGAGGTGACTTGATGTTGAGTTGTGGGGAAGGTGTAGTGGTTACTAAGTGCAGTAAGGTTGTCAGTATGCAGAAATGTGGTATTGTGCTTCTGAACACAAGCTGCACGTTGTGGGTTTAACTGTGCATTAGCCCTGACAAGTTTGGCTATTGTCACTGATGCTCAGTGTGGTGATGCTCACTTTCTTTGATATTGTGAGTTTGGAGCAGAACTGGTATTTCATTCATCCCTTCAAGAAACCTTTCCATTAAGCTACTTCAGTTAACATACCTAAGCCTTCTTTCTTCTCAGGGAAGTAAGGAAACAATTTTTTACTTTTTTTTAGAACCATCTAAAGGGCCAACCGTATGGAGGACCATTGATGCATCTCCCTCACCAGCTTTTTGGACTGTACGACTGATGTGGAAGGTAAAACAATGTGCTAAACTGCAGAAATTGAATATTATTTTAAAAATGATTTTATGCAGAAATTTACCTCAACAGACTTAGATATCTGGGGATGGAACACTTATCGATATAAAAAATAACTTAATTTTTTCATGACTACTTAATCTAATAAGTATGCTGAAAGTAAGATTTTAAGGCAGTGAGTAATCCAGAATCCACTTTAAGATTTCCCACTCGCTGTCTTCATAGGCAGTGTGTGAAATTGGAAACTCCCTTGCACATAGTAAAGTTTGACATTACGCCTTCTGATCTATCATACTGGAATCCTTCAGCTGCAAAATCCATTAAGCCTAGAGATATTCCAGAGACCAGACTTATTAAATACAGCTCTGTGTGTTTGCATAGAATAGGCTGCTGATTAGTCCAAGCTGTGAAAGTGAATGCAATGATCAGTCCCCGTCTCCTGCTTTCTTCTGGTTTCTGAACTTTTGTTAAATTGATCTAGCTTTCTTTTATTAGTACTTTCCTGTTAATAGATGCCTAAGGTGAACTTCCCTGTATATGGATCCTTTTCTGATTTAACTTGTATGTCACATTCCACTCTGATATTATTAATTAACTTAGAATTGGAAAACTGGTGTTACTTAAGTTCACCCTGTTTAACCATTTTCTCTATATACCCTGATAGTTAATATTGTTACAGATAATACAGACACAAATATTCTTCTACTTATAATAAAATTACTCATTCTGTTCTGCATTTAAGGTCAACTCAACCTATAAAATGAAATTCTTTTGATGTCATTGTGTTGTGAAGTTGTACAAAATGTAGTTTTTTTCCACATGTAGTCAGAAATCTTGACAGAAGTGCTTTTTTTAGACAGCTGGATAGGATTATGAGTCGAGCAAAAAGATTTAAACAATAGTTCTAGAGAGTACTGTTTTACGGAAATGAACTCTAAAGCCATTTGCAATTCTCTTAATTATGTAAGTTATTTATATACATGTCTTTCTCCCAGTTCTAAACCATTAAACTGTGCTTCGATGCTAATAAAGGTTGTCACATTTGTTCAGTATTAATATAATTAAAAAATGTATTTCTGGCAGGCACTAGAGCCATTTGAAGCCAATGGAGTAATCTTGCAATATGAAGTGACAGTCAGAGCTAAACCACCCCTCTCCCATCCACCATGGAAGTACAACGTTACTACCACCAGCCTTACATTAAAGCTGCCAAATGGAACTTACGAAGTGACTCTGATTGCACATAACAGAGTTGGGGCGTCCCCTCCATCAGTTTTACTTATTCCATCAAGTAATTCAAAAGGTTAGTGTAAGAATAATGTTTCTAACATTCAAATGTACAGAATAATAGAATCTCTGTGACTTCTCTGATTAAAAAAATGTTCAGTGTTGTAAAATTATAACTTTTACATTAACATACAATTATAATACTGTTAAATGCACGTGTGCTCTTAACTCCTAATTATGCTGCAATTTGAACAAGGGCTGCTTTGAAAGTAATGCCTTCGATTTTGTGTTGGTCTGTGACATCAGATGCAGATGTTGGTGGGTGGGGCAGAAGTAGAAGTTGAACCTTCCAATATTCTTTTACATTTCTTTGCTGTGTGACTGGTGGCAGCAGAGGGAAGGTCTGACAAACTGGCATGTGACATGGAGGTGCTTATGAAGCAAAGATATGTCATTGAATTCCTCCAGTCCAGCTAATGGTAGTAACTATGTTCAAAAACAGTGTTTTATAATAGTGTAGCTATTTGCTCTACCAAATAATGTTATTGTCCTCTTTGTAAATGTTGCGGTTTCCATGGAAATAAATCACAGAACCATAAAATCACCAAGGTTGGAAAAGACATCCAAGAGCATCCAGTCCAACCATCCATGTATCACCAATATTTCCCACCAAACCAGGTCCCTCAGTATGACATCTAAATGTTTCTTGATCACCTCCAGGGGCAGTAACTCCACCACTTCCCTGGGCAGCCTGTTCCAGGACCACTCTCAGAGAGTGAAAAAGTATTTCTTAACATTCAACCTGAATCTCCTGTGGTGCAACTTGAGGCCATTCCCTCTAGTCTTATTGCTAGTTACATGGGAGAAGAGGCCAATCTTCCCCTCACCACAACCTCTTTTCAAATAGTTGTAGAGAGCAATAAGGTCACCTGTGAGCCTCGTCTTCTCCAGACTAAACAATTCCAGCTCCTTCAAATGCTTCTCATAAGACTTATGCTTCTGACCCATCACCAGCTTCATTGCCCTTCTTCAAACATGCATGCTCTGGGGTCTTAATGTCTTCCTTATAGTGAGGGGCCCAAAACCGAACGCACTACTTGAGGTACAGCCTCACCATGGCTGAGTACAGGTGAATGATCACTTCCCTGTTCCTCCTGGCAGCACTATTTCTGATACAAGCCTTGATGCCATTGGCCATCTTGGCCACCTGCGCACAGTGCTGGCTCGTGTTCAGCCAAGCATTGACCAAAACCCCCAGGTTCATTTCCTCTGCACTGTCTTCCAGCCACTCTGCCCCAAGCCTGTTGCAGTGCCTGGTGTTGTTGTGACCGAAGTCTTTTTGAACTTCATTCCATTGGCCTCAGCCCAGCTATTCAGCCTGTCCAGATTTCTCTCTAGGGCTGTCCTACCACCAGGCAGGTTGATGCTTCCTGCTAACTTAGTGTCATCTGCAAGTTTACTGAGGGTGCACTCAATGCGTTCATCCAGGTTGTCAGTAAATATATCAAAGAGGACAGGCCCCAGTGCTTACCACTGGGGAACACTGCTTGTGACCATTTGCCAGCTGGATGTAGTTTCATTCATCACCACTCTCAGGGCCTGGCCTTCTGGCCAGTTTTTTTACACAGCAACAAATGTATCTGTCCAAGCCACCAGCTGACAGCTTCTCCAGGAGAGTACTGTGGGAGACAGTGTCAAAGACTTTGCTGAAGCCTCAGTAGATTACATCAACAGCCTTTCCCTCATCTTCCAGGTGAGTGACTTGACCATGAAAGGAGATCAGGTTGGTCAAGGAGGACCTGCATTTCATGAACCTATTCTGGCTAGATCTGATTTCCTGGCTTTTCCACACATGCCATGTGATCTCCCTCAAGATGATCTGCTCCATAACTTTTCTTGGCACCAAGGTCAGGCTGACAGGCCTGCAGTTCCCTAGATCCTCTTTATGAGGTAGATGAGAGTCTAGCAGAGTATCTCCCATAGTAGGCGCTCCTACCAGCTGCATCAGGAAGTTATCTTCCATACATGTTAGAAACCTCCTAAACTGCTTCTCCTGTGCTGTATTATATTTCCAGCATATATCAGGGAAGTTGAAATCCCCTATGAGAACAAGGACTGCTGATGGCACAATTTCCGCCAGCTGTTCTGAGAACTCTCTGTCTGTCCCTTCATCCTGGTTAGGTGTCTAACAGATTCCCACGATGATGTCTGCCTTGTTGGCTCTACCTCTGATCCTTAACCATAGAGATTCAACCTTAGCATTTCCAACTGCATCCTCAAAACACTTTCTAACACAGAGAGCCATGCCTCCACCCCTCCTTCCTTTCCTGTCTGTTCTGAAGAGCTTATAGCTGCCCACTGCAGCACTCCAGTCATGGGAGCAATCCCACCATGTTTCTGTAATGGCAACTAAGCCCCAGTTTGTCTGCTGCACCATGGCTTCCATCTCCTCCTGTTTGTTGCCAATGCTGTGTGCATTGGTGTAGATGCATTTCAGCTGAGCCCCCTGCAACTCCAATCCCATCATCGTTCCCATAGGCTTATCTCTAGCAGGCCTGGTTTTATCCTTTTCCCCCTTCATACCAAGTTTAAAGCTCTCCTTACGAGCCCTGTCAGCTCCTAGGATAGGATTCCGATCCCACTTTAAGACAGGTGAGACCCATCAGCAGCCATTAGGCCAGTTGCTGAGTAAACCAACCCATGGTCAAAAAAGACGAAATTCCTGTTAGTGTCAGCCTTTCAGCCATGTATTTATGAGATTGGCTTTCCTGCCTCTTTAAGTATCATTCACTGCCACTGAAGGGACAGAGGGAAATACAACCTGCACACCCACTCCATCCACGAACTGCCCCAGTCCCCTTTTAGATAAGTCCTTATAGATAATCCACAAGCTTCTCTCAGCAACTTAAAAAAAATCCAAAAATAGGAGGCATTACTTTTGGAGCAACTTATGTATACTGGAATTCATGGCTATTTTATGCACTCATGAATTCGTTGCAAGATTTGTGTGCTATTTTACTGTTCTTTGTGGTCCACAGAGCAACTGTGCACTGTATTTTCTATTTTATTTCTTCTAGAATAGCAGGCATTTCTGTTTTCTAAAAATAAAATAATTTGGGGAAGCAAGTGTCATCTACTTCGTGTATATTCAGTTTAGCTATTGTTCTTCTTCCTTCTGCTTTGTGGTATTCCCTCCCACTCACCTCCCCTTTCTGCTCTTGTCCTTGTCTTACCCTCTGGTGTTTCCCGTATCTTGTGAAATGGTGGAAGCAGACGACTCTGTTCATTTTCCTTTTTATCATGATCCTTTTGTTGTACACTGGTAGTAGTAAATGAAGGCTGGTTTCTCCTTACTGCCCTCATCTGCTGAATCTAGCCTCTTACACTCTCACACAATCCAAGAATGAGGAGCAGAGGTAACAAAAGTCAATACATCAGTGGGTCTGATACTTGGTGCATAAACACTAGGGGAGATCTACAGATTCTAAAACTAGTAAATGACCCAACTAAAGGTATGCTTCAACATAGTAGTATTGTAGCTGAAAGGACTTGGTAAAGTACATGAGTATATTCAGGATTGGAATGGGAATTTAGAAGGTCTGTAGGTTTGATTTTACTGTGAAATAGACCCTATAGTTTGGAAGAAATATGGTAACTCTTCATTGTGCAATATGACAACTTACTTTATAAAAGAAAAAGTGTGTCTAATTTACAGTTATTGAATAGTATTGTTTGTCTCTCTAATACAAATTCAAATGTAAGCTTCTAAATTTCAGCAAATTACTAACATTTTGTTAGATTCTGTCAAGTTGTCACCATTACAATAATCAAAAGTATCTACATTTGACAAGACAGCTGCTGTTTTGACTATCTAGTGGAAGAAATGTCAATATTTAGTACTTTTCTGTTTTCTTTCATTTCAGCTCCTGTGAAGAATATTAGAACACTACCTAAAGATGGCAAATTGTGGGTAGGATGGACTGCTCCTAATAATGTTCTTAAATACGTAATTGAATGGTGTCTGATGTCCAACAGCTCAGACTGTATCACAGAGTGGCAGATAGAACCAGGAAACATTCAAGGAACATACTTAAAAGGTACTTATCTTACAAGTTTGCAAAGATCTTGTAGAACACTAAGAACCTAGTGAATATTCTCAAAGGGAAGAATACATTTATGGTAGCTAGGTTTCTCTTTGTAGGATGGGAATCTGGGGTAATGCAGGGGCTGCTCTTAGTTTATCACAAGTATATGGAAATATCTATATTTTTGCCAAATGAACTCATTTTTACATTTTGAAATTCATGTTAAACTGAAAAAAGTCTCATCTGCATTTTGCTTTTAATCTCTTTGTTCTTGGGAACGACTGAAATAGTGAAAAGGGTGAGGTCCTTCCAAATCAAATTGTCATGCATCTTTAGGTCAAACAGTGAAACTAAATCAACTTTACAATTCTGTTCAGATGGTAATCAACGGCTCACATCTATAATTATGTGTTTCAGTGTTGTAGACAGTTAAAGACTTAATTAGAATAAATTAGGAAAACAGCCCAAATTCTCTGAAGTCTGCTTATACTTTAATGAGCCACTTTATTTTTCTCTTAGTTATTTCTTTGGAGCAATATGTGAATGAGCTCTAGAATAACAGTCTTCTGCATTAGTTATAAGAGCATTTAACAAAACAGACAAGGCTTGGGACCCTGCATCTAAGGTAAATGGGGTAAATAGTGAGAAATTTAACTCTCTGAAACACCATATTTTAAAATTCCTTTTACTAGGTGACATTAAACCATTCAAGTGTTACTTGATAACTGTGTACCCTCTGTATGCTGATGGCCAGGGAAGTGGACAGTCTGTGAAGGCTTACCTTCAGCAGGATCGTAAGTATGAAAGTCACCTTGGAGAACATTCACTTGGCTAAAATACTGAATGCCTTTGCTTTCATGCATAATTGAAAGTGGCCCTACACATAAAGGCCATCTGATGTAATTGTTTTTTTCCCCTATGTTAACATCCATTCTGCTAGTATACAATATTTAATTAAACAGATGTCTCTGTACGAGTTACCCTTTTCCAGCTTCTATCAGAATACTTGGCACAGGATTTTGTTACTTTATCAACATAATATTGTCTTTGATTTATTTGAGATACTAAATATGAAGTCAAGAGTAATTGACTTCAATGGAAGACTTCACGTGATCTCATCTGATTACTTTTTTATACATTTTTCTAGATATTCCTTTTAAAGTTCTTTGAAATTGCTATATTGCCTGAAAATAATGTGTTGTGTTAAAATAATGCTTTATAGATAAGTTAGTCCAGCTATTCTATTGAAGCTTTTATGAAATAGCAATCCAGTTCTCATTAATGCACTACTTTTATGGATGGGAGGATATGCAATAGGAACTAATGTTCATCTACCATTACAGGTCCTTCAAAAGGACCAACTGTTCAGACAAAAAAAGTAGGAAAAGCTGAAGCTGTTTTGACATGGAACCATCTCACAGTCGATGAGCAAAATGGATTCATCAGAAGTTACACAATACTGTACAAAACTGTCGATGGAAATGAAACAGGTAATAGAAGGCAGAGACATGCTTTTTGGTGTCAAAGTGCTCAGTCTGTTTCCTTCCTAATACATGTTCCTGGAAAACAAGAAACAGTTTCAAGTGTGTTTGATAGTTTTATTTTGATGATATAAAGCTGATGTTAGAGGAGTAGCTCTCCCATGCAGTCAACTGGAAAAAGTTACCAATAAAGAATTAAGCACATGCAGTCTGTCTATAACCGGCTACTGAGTTTGGTTTCTGAAGGCTGATTGGCAGTTATTGTACTCACATCTGTCTATCTAAATACAGAACAAGGAGGTTATGTAACAAGATGGGCACAAACTGGAACATAGGAGGTTCTGACTAACCATCAGGAGACTCTGCCAACCTCAGCCATTCTGAGAGTGAAGATGAAGCTAGATCATTCAGTGTGCAAATGATTATTTATTTATTTAAAACTGTGTTTTTGCTTGAAGTGCATTTTAATTCTTCATAGTCTCTATGAGCACCAGACAAAGACAGGGAGATGACTCTGTAGAAAGGTGGGGTTTTTTGAGATCTACATAAGTTGGAAGAGCAGTTTACTTATGCTTCTCGTTATCCACTAGATTATTTTCTAGCTAACTGTGTATTCTGCATATTAGAGGCCTTTAAGCTTCAGTTTTACTTTCAGTTTGCTTTCTGAAAAAACATCAAATTCACAATGAATTATCACAAAGAAGGAATAAATTTAAACGTGAATAGAAACAAATTAACCTCAGCATTCATTGTATGAGTTTGTAATCTTTCTGTGACGGTTGTTTTCCATGCAGCCACACATTCCACAGAAACTGTTGTTTCTTAAGATGTAATGTCTTAATGCTTTTGTGTTTATGGAGATCTAATAGACCATACTGAAAACTAGTATATTTTTCTTCTCTTCAGCTGTGTCAGTGGATCCATCCAAGACAGAGTATACCCTCTCTTCTCTAACCAGTGATACACTGTATACTGTGCGGATGATGGCATACACAGATGAAGGAGGCAGGAGTGGTCCTGATTTTACTTTTACTACACAGAAATTTGGTAAGGAAGAATTTGAAAAAATCAACAGAAGTAGAAATTGATTTTGCAACAGTATATCAGGGCTCAATTTCTGAACTGATAGGAGAGGAAGATGATTTTTTAAAAAAAAAAAAAAAAGCAGTTGTTCATCATACCCACAAAGTGCAGGAAACTGTCTAACATTCAAGCATAAAAGGATATTTGACCTTTTTTTTATTATTTGAATTCAGTTACAATTCCTGTGGGCTGTGTCTTCTGCATTTTTCTTTTGTGGCAAACATGCTGGTTTGAGATGTGCTTCTTGTGTATTGCTTAGAGTACAGTGAATGACCCGCTTTGTGTGAGTAATTAGAATTTTCTCAATGTCCTTGTATCCTTATCCTTATTGGATGACTCCTATTCTTGTCTTAAAGACAGCGTCTAGAATCTTCGTTTTAATATGAATGTAGATTGCCTTCATTTTCCTGATTGGAGTGTTCTGCTAAGCTGCACATTTGGGCTGGGAATCTGAACCTGCTAATGTGGATGCCTGTCAGCACATGCAGTTCTTTACAACTCTTATTCAGCTTCCACGTTCCTATTTAATGGCTTTTAGTTTGTTACAGTTCTCTACAGAAATTCATTGTGAAGAGTTAAATTTGTATGTGCAGCTTTACAGAGCTCACTGTTTATAATGGTAAAAGCAGCAACATTAGGTGTTTTTTTCAGGATAGTGTTCTTCTTCCCTAAGCATTCTGTAAGGTTTATTTATAAAATGTATGCATCATTTGAGAAGAGATACATGCCAACAATGCAGCCTTAAGTGTTTGTAGGTAAAGGACGTTTTGATGTACAGAATAAACTGATTGATAACTTACATTAGTTATTTAGTCATGATACTGATATGGCATATGGTGGGTCACCAAAACTGGACCACAGATGAATTCACTTAGAAATTGTATCTACTTAAATTATAAAAATTATTTGTAACATTACAGCTTCTAGAGCAATCTGTGGTTTTTATTGATGCAAGGCATTAGATTATTTGAACTGAGCCTTTCTTAAGTTTACCAACAGGCTTTTTTCATGGAGGGAAGAGGTTCTTCTGAATCTGAATCTTATGGCTATGCTGTTTGGTTTTCAATTGTCCCTGCCTGTGAGGAACTGTATGCTGCTGCTGATTTCCTTTTATACCAAAAAGGGCTGTAAATGATTTTCTTTGTGCTTTTTTTTTCAGGGAGAGGAGAAATTGAAGCCATAGTTGTACCTGTGTGTCTAGCGTTCTTGTTGATTGTACTCCTTGGAGTTTTATTTTGCTTCAACAAACGTGACCTGTAAGTGTAAATGAAGCCTTTCTCTCCTCTTCTTTCTATGTCTTGGTGTAACATGAGATATGGCAATAATTCATTATGAACATGTAAATGTTCTACAGATAGTTTGGAAAAAAAAGGTAAAACATATTAATAATAAACATTTTTTTATTTTTCTTGAAAAATCAAGGGCTTTTCTGATACTAATTTTATTTATTACTGTGAATCATTATCACTGAAACAGAATGTCCCGCAGATCAATCTTCAAGAGAATTTCGTGCTAGTCTTGGTTATGGTTAGATTTGTTAGGTTTTTATTAGGATATACCATCTGTGTTGTTTTGTCAGTCATCAGATTAGACTAAAATGATGGCTTTCATTTCATAAAGTACAGAATATTCTGTTTAACTATATTCAAGCTATTTAGTGTTAGCAAACTTTAAGTTTACTCAGTTCTTACTTAGTGTGTAGTGGCATATATCGTGTCCTCTTCCAGCTCTTTTTATCTCAGAGTTTTTCTCTGTGGCTTTAGCTGAAGTATTTTCCCTGAGAAAGAGCATCTCCTACATGTTCCCAGTCAACTAACTTTTCTTTCTGGTTTAAAAAAAACTTTTTGCCCTTCTCATTCTGACATGCCTGCTGCTTCTAAAATCAATTCTTAATGGACTGTAGTTGAAAAGCCCATCTTGGAACATGTCCAAACTTTGATTTTAGTTGTGAAGTTTGCTGTGATATTCATAGTTACCTCAGAGTAACGAAAATGTATGCTTATACTGACGTAGGTAATATTTTCTACCTAAATATTTGCTGTTAGTATCCACATAGGAATTTAGAAATGCATCTTTTAATCTTGTTTTTAATCTTCTGCAGAATTAAAAAGCATATTTGGCCTAACGTCCCTGATCCATCCAAGAGTAACATTGCTCAGTGGTCCCCACAAGTTCCAGCTAAGGTAATACTCATTTTTCTGCATCCTTTATTTTCCTAATACAAAAGGTCTCAAACTAACCAGAGGTGGTCTTCTCCCTTCTGAAACACACAGAGTTATGGATTTAAAATTAAACTGGATGTAAGTTTCACAACATTATTATGTGATATGGCTAGAAGACTTAATTGTCAAATAGATTCAGTGTTAGAAATATATGATCCTTAGCACAAGTTCACAGCATAGAACTTGAACTTACTAGTTTGAAGGGCCAAGCCCCGATTATTATATCATTAATGGGAAAACAGTACAAATTAAACAGCTTATGGTTCTTAAAACTTTGTACAGTTAAGTGTGAAAGAGAGGGAGATCTAAAATATGGATGCTAACTGTGACAGAAAAATCTGTGCCCTGTGTGGGATGGGTGACAAAAAATTCTGTTCAGTAAATTGTGGCTAACATCTTCTTTAGCTCTGATTTTGAACGTGCTATTGAGAGTATGTGTGCATGGCCTCTGTACAGAATGTTCTGTATTGCGTAGTGAATGGTTTTCTGTTTGCAGTTCTTCTGAACAATTAAAAATTAGAGCAAAGCTTGCACATCCAGTTGCAGTTCTTAGAGTACTTTAGAATTATGGATATAAAACTACATCTTTCATTTTGTAACAGATAGTTGGAGAGTATTGCCACACTCAGTAAGGAGGCAAACTGTGTGAAGAATATTGGAATTACTGCAGAAAAAGAAATAAGTTATTTAATATTTTGCTTGTTTTCAACTTAAATAACCTTCCTCTTAGGCAACATCCTTCTCTTTCTTTCAGCACAACTTTAGTTCTAAAGATCAGATGTACCCAGAAGGCAGTTTTACAGATGTGAGCGTCGTAGAAATAGAAGCTGATGACAAGAAGTCTTTTTCAGAACAAGACCTAAAACCTTTCGATTTGCTCAAAAAAGAAAAAAGTACTTCAGAAGGGCACAGCAGTGGTATTGGAGGATCCTCATGCATGTCTTCTCCTAGGCAAAGCGTCTCTGATAGTGATGAAGGTGAAACTACACAAAACACTTCAAGCACTGTGCAGTATTCAACTGTAGTACTTAATGGCTACAGAGATCAAACACCTGTACAAGTCTTTTCAAGGTCTGAATCTACTCAGCCTCTGCTAGATTCAGAAGAGAGATTAGAGGATCATGCTGGAGGGAGTGACGGTACAACACAAAGGCAGCATTATTTCAAACAAAATTGTGGTCAGGATGAAACCAAGATAGACAGGCCATTTTTTGAAAGAGCAAAGCAGATTATTTCTGCTAATGAGGAGGATCTCGCTGGATTTGCACAACTGCAGATCTCAGGTCAGAGTTCACAGCCCCTAGGCTTTGAGCTGGAAGAAAATACCCAGGAAGCTGCTCTGCCAGATGTTTTGCAGACAAGTATTGAAGGACAAACTGTGAGATCTGAAACAATGGAGGGAAATGTACCATCAGTTGATGAAATGCCAAAAAGTTACCTCCCGCAGACTGTGAGACAAGGGGGTTATATGCCTCAGTGAGAGAAGAGACTGGCTATATTAGGCCTTCATTAGTGCCTGTTCACATTTTTTTTCCTGTGTTTCTGATAAATTAAGCTAGGTATTTTTATCTGAATGCAGATAGAAATACTGAAATTAGGTGAAGAATAATTTGACAAAGTACAATAAGGACTATGTTTCCGTGGAAAATCTGCAGTCCAGACCTACTGGAGACTTACTTTTATGCACTACATGAAATCATATTTGTCTGAAAAGCTGAACAAGCCTATGTGCTACCTTGCTTTTTGTCTTGTCATTCTAGATTTACACATGATTGAAAATAGCAAGTTTCAATTAATCACATTGGCCAACAGACCTCCTAGAAGAAATACTTTGATTTGTGACAGTGTACAAGCCTAAAAAGCCAGCTTTGGTTGCTTGGAGCATCTTTGTGCAAAAATGAGACTGAAATTCAGTATTCTAAAGCGCAAAAATACTGTATCATACACTTTTCAACAGCTTGATTAACCTTCTGAATTTTGACTTGGCCTAGTGTCACAGATTCAGACTTATCAAACTCAGTATGCAAGTCATGCATCCCCATTTAAAAACTACATAGAAGTTATGATGGTGTGCAGGTAAAAAATGTTATGATTGCTTGACTCTGAGTGTTCCTATAGTCACTGATACTCTGTCTGTATTTAGATATGCTTGCACATGAAGTATATAATAATTTGGCCTAAAAGTGTGCCTTGCTACTGGATGCACAGCAGTTCAGTCTTTGTGTTTAAATGTTAAATCCAGATGAAAACACAGATGAGAAATTAGTCAAAGATATTTGAACCCCTTCGCTTCCTGATCATATTGCATCTCTCCGGTCATGATAATTGCCTTTGTATAATATGTGCCCCCTTGGCAGTGTACTGCTTGAGAGGTAAATAATGGGCTTTCACAGTCCCTGTAACTGCTCAGGAGAAGGGGAATAGGATCTTCTTCCTGATTGACTATGAAAATTAATACTCCTCGACTTCCTCGAAACAGAACATAGCAAAAAACAAAGCGCTCAAGTCATTGAAGTGCTCAGGGGAAGGAAAAAAAAAAAAAAAAAGCAACTACCCTGAAATTGACAGTTACTGACAATATGAATCTCTTATCCAGCATAATCCACAGATAATATTTGTGGCTGCGAAAATTCCTCATGTCTCAGTTCAGCCCTGTTCAGATAATCTGTGTTTTATTACAGGTACATACAATTGCATTAATATAACCCTCTTCCCTAATGATGAAATTTTACAACACTCTTGTAGATGTTTTTGTTAACTTAGTCTAGTCAACTTTTCTAACTTGACACTAATAACCTTCATTCAAAACACTACATGCTGTTCTGTGAGAATAAAAAGAGAGTTTTAATTCTCCTTCAGCAAAAGGGAGACCTCCAGAACTTTTCAGTGCTGTGATACGTGGTGCTGCTGTCCTGCAGAGCACTTATTAAAGGCCTTTGAAGAACAGATGGAAGTATGATGTTCACCTCTTACGCTTTTGTTTTGAAGAAACTCAGTGCTAGTGTGAATTCAGAATATTGCTATTTGGACAACACAAAACAGAGTTCTTAAATTTCAATAACATTCAACATTCTGCAGTTCCTTTCTGCTTACAGTATTTTTCATGTATGGGAACTTTTTTAAAACTAAAATGTGATGTTGCAGGTTACTGTAACTGTACTTTTCTTCAGAACAGATCACCTTCCTTCCTCCCTATGCCACCTCAGAACATTCAGCCTCTTCCTGCAGAGTGCAAGGCATAATGAAAGCTATGCTGTCATGAGGCAGAGGATGACATGTATGGTTTTTCAAAGGCTGAAGGAGCATTCGGTTGTCAGAACACATTCCTCTTGGAAAATGGCAGCAGTGAGTTTGTGCAGGGATAGGTGTGTGTTCTTCAATCAAACTTCATTGTGGCCGTGGTAACCATGAGTAAAAGGGAAAGTCAGTGTGCATGCTTACTCAAAGTGCTCTACAGCCACATGCTGTCTAATTCACCTTCTGCTGATCTCCTAAATGTTTTGGGCTCTGATTTTTATGGCCACAGTCTGGCTGCTTAGCTTGAACGTTGCTTTAACAAATGTTGCTTCAAACATGCTATCTTTCATCTGTGATCCAGCAATACTAACTTCTGGTATCATATGTCATATCTGAGAGACCACTTCAGCTGTTCCTAAAGTTACTGTTCTCTTTCTGTCATGTAGAGGGAAAGCATTTTGTTCTCAGTTGCTGTTAACCACAGACCATTTCCAAAGTAAGTTAAATGTTGAAGTGATTCCCTCTTTTTGGGGAGTCACTGCTAACAAGAGTTCTAGCCTGTCACTCTTATTTCTTTGTTATTTATGGGTCTGTGGTAATGAACTCACACAGTTGTACAACAGAATATCCTGGCATGAGTTTTGTGTGGCAGATTTACTTTCTGTCTTTCCATCTCATGCATGCATCTAGGAATAAAATTGTGAAGATGAAGCAGGAGGTAATTGTGGGTGAACAGCCTACAGAAGCCACAGAAAGTCTGAGTAACAGGTTTGCTTGCAACTTCATAAACCTCTGTGCCAAAGTGCTGTATTGTACAGTGTTTGGGTTTAACTTGGTTTTGTACTTAGTAGGCATTACAGCAAGAGACTTGTATCTAAGAGTTGCACGCAGGTTTTAGAGTGTTTGTAATGCATTTTAGCAAGCCACTGAAATTCTCTGAATTTGGCCTGAAAATGATAACTAAAGGATAAGCTTTTTTTTTTTTTTTTTTTCCAATAACTATGGTGCACTTTACTAAATAAAGGCATTATTAAAATAAAATTATACATTACTATTGACACTTTAGTGCCCATCTTGATTACCCAGACTGGAATTTTTCAAGTAGCGTGGGATAATAGGTGAGAAAAGAATTCTGCTTCCCTTCTGCAGCAGGTAGGGTGGTGAATAAGGAAATGTTTCTCCTCTATGATCACACTTGGAGCTGCTTTTAGGCGCAGACTAACTCCTCTGTTTGTAAGAAAAGTGCTTATGTTATTTCTGTAGTGATGATCTGTGTGCTCTGTTAGAACAGGAGGTTGGTGAGGTTGATGCTGTGGTTGTGTTGGCTTGTTTCCATGGCACTTAGCATGGGAATATCTTCTGTTGCAGTGAAAAAGTCTTGGGGTTGTGTTTCTGCTTACTGTTGAAAGCTAAACTACCTACTAAGCCTCAGGCTAAGAAGGTGAAGGACAGGAGAGCAGAAATGTTCCTAAGTTAGTTTAGGATTGTCTGTGTTAGGCATGTGCGGATCGGTGTGACAGCAGCCCAGCAAAGTGATAATTTATCCAGATTCGCAAAAACTTTGGCCGTATCATTGGGGCACAGGGCCAAGTGCCCCCGTAGCTGCCCCTTGCTCACAAGGGCTTCTGGTTCTCAGCACTGGGAGCCCCTCTTCCTGCCCCAGGGTTTGGCAGCTTAGGCTTTGATCGTAAATTGTAAGCACCACCAGATAGCTAAAACCTACGTGAGCACACTGAGGGAGTACGGGAGTCGTGCTGCTTTAACTTAGGTAACATATCTAATTAATGCCAGGTCTTAAATACCTAAGACCCACGTCAGTATATGCTGCTATCCTATTGACTTCACAATAGGATCTAGAAATTCAGAGCAACTCAGAACTGGTATAGTCAGCCCCTCCAGGATGTGTATGCATTCAGTTGTGATTTATATGCATTAAAAGGGACTAAATAGACCAGTTTGTCTTCTGTGAGATGGTTGTTGTGACTGAGACTAAGAGCTACTTAGGTACATTCCTTGAAGTGCATTAAAAAGTTCCACTGATGGCTGGATCCTAAAAATTCCCTGCTTCCTTATAAACACTGATCTCTTGGCTAGGATGGATAGGTACAGGCATTTTATATTCCTGTATCTGCCTTTAATGTTATTTGGAAGCAGTTTATAATAGCAGAATTATCTTGGCATCTGTGGTGGAGCAGCCCGTTGGTGACCACCGCCCTCAGCATTGCAGGGAGCCTGGTGCAGGAGTCTGGAGAATGGCAGAATCACATACCCTGCAGCTGATTCATCAACTCCTGTTTCTGTTCCCTAAAAGTGAAAGGATTAGTTAAAATGAAGCTAGAAGCGTATATCTGCTTTCTCTGTTGTTCCCTTCATAGCACTTGTGCAATCTGAGCCATTCATAAGACAGAGCAGTGCTGACTCTATGTGCAAGGATGCACATCAAGGCCACAAGACTTGTTGCAGACTACTCTAATGACTACGGCCAGAGCGCAGTGGAGTGGGCAGTGAATAACTGATGGTGCACAGCACGGGGCAGGATGTGTGCGTGCAGGGACAGCTTGGTGGTGGACGCAGGCTGTGATGACATGGTTGTGCTGCAAGAGCACGCCTTGGAGATCAGTGAGAAATGAGTGCGTGGCACTGCTGGCAGTGGCTGGCTACAGTGCAGCTTCCTCCTGCCCTGACCTGCACCGACTGCACTGCGCCTCTGGAACTGCCAACTGTGGAACCGCTCACAGCAGCCACTCTTCACAGCAAAGCACATTCGTTCATGGATCCGCTTGGCTCACCGTGGCCTTTTTAACGGACTGGACTCGTTCGATGTCGCGCAGTGGTGGGCAGTCTGCTCCCCACGTGCTTTTCGTGGGGCAAATGGGTAAGGGTGTACTTGTACTATGTCACCATGTACATCTCGGTAAGCGTAGTCGTAAGACATGGGGATATTTAACAAGGAAAGTGCCTTGATGCTGAACACTTAGTGAATGTAATGTTAAATAGATTTTATTATGTACCATATGGGGTTACGGCTGCCTGAGCTACTGCTGATGTGTAACCTCTGCCAGCTTTGAGCGCATGCTGTGGCAGCCGGCTGAGCTGTGGGTGCACGCGCTGTCTATACGGAAGTGTTTTCACAGCATACGCGACCTTACTTCTTTTGCAAGCTGCATGTTTATTGTCATATTGTCATAGACTGCTTTCTACAATTTACTTTTTACTGTAACGTTTGAATGTCTTTGTTACCCAGTTGAGCCTGAACGTTGCATTTGTCTACTACATAATATTAAAAAAAAAAAAGAACAAAATTCCAAAGCGTCTGTCGGAGTCGCTGTCGATGTTACGGGGCGTTCTCTCCCCTTTTCGTTCGCTCCGGGCGCGGTGCGGACAGCGGCGCTTGGCGGCCGCAGGCGCTGGCAGCACCGAGCGCTTCGGGTCCCTCCGCACAGGCGTTGGTGCCGCTCCCGGCGCCGCGTGCCGTCTCCCAGCCCCTCCGCCGGGTGCGCTGCCCGGGGCAGCGCCGCCGGACGGGGGCAGCAGCGCGACGTGCCGCCCTCAGCCGCGTCGTTCTCCGCGTTTTGTTTCTGTTACGGTCGCGCGCTCGTTTTCGCGGGGCTCAGCCGCCCCCTCCGCCAGCCCTCGCTCCCTTCGGGCGGCCGCGCCTCCGCCTCCCGGCCGCGTCCCGCGCCGGAGGTAAAGCGCTTCTCACGCCGCTCCGCCGCTGAATCATCGCGCGGCGACGCCCGGGCCGAGTGACGCCGGGCCCCAGCGCGACCCGCCCGCATTCCGTGCGCTCCGGGAACAAACGCGCTCCCGGGGACCGGATGCAGCTTTTTCCCCTGCGCTGGGATCGAGCGCGGCAGGAAGGCACGGCCGAGAGCCGCGCACGCAGCGTCTCCGTGTGGTCCCGCCGCGGAGGGCTCCGACCGCACGGCAGCGCACATCCGAGCCGCTTACCACGTCCCAAACCCGGTGACCTCCGTCCCGAGGGAACGGCGCCGGGCGGATGCGTCACCCGGCAGCGCCCGCCTCCGCGCTGCGCTCCCTTCCCTGGAAAAGCCCCGCGCTCCGCGGGCGGAGGGAGGGGCGCTGCGGGGGCGCCGCGTTGCGTTCCCGGGCGGCTGCGGGAGGAGGGGGCCGTTCAGGGGACGCTGTGAGGCGAGTTCTCGCCGGTGCCCGGGTCTGGGAGGAGGCTGCCGCTGTCTGGAGAAACGCAGCACCTCTCGGGGCACAGGAGATGGAAACGAACTGCTGACACCTGGCACTCTCATTGGTATCCGAGAAGTCGTGGCAGCCCGGTGAAGTCCCTCATGACTGGAAGCACGGACACGTCACACCCATTTTTAAGAATCATAGAATCACAGAATCGTTCAGGTTGGAAAAGAACATAAACATCATCGAGTGCGAGCACGACCTAACCATGCTACCCTAACAACCCTCCACGATCACGTTCCTGAGCACCACATCCAAATGGTTTTTAAACACATGCAGGGATGGTGACTCAACCACCTCCCTGGGGAGCCTATTCCAGTCCTTAACAACCCTTCCTGTAAAGAAGTCTTCCTGATATCCATCCTAAACTTCCCCTGGCACAACTTGAGGCCATTTCCCCTCGTCCTGTCACCTGTCTTCAGTGAGAAGAGACCAGCCCCGCCCTCGCTGTAAGCACCTTTCAGACATTGGAAGAGAGCAATAAGGTCTCCCCTCAGCCTCCTTTTCCCCCAGACTGAACAGCCCCAGTTCCTTCAGTCGCTCCACGAAGGGCATGCTCTCCAAACCCTTCACCAGCTTTCTTTGGACCTGCTCCAGCATCTCATTGTCCTTTCTCTACTGCGGTGCCCAAAATTGAACACAGAAGAGAAGATGACCCAGAGACTACCAACCTATCCTGGGCTGCATCAAAAGAAGCATGGCCAGCAGAGTGAGTGAGGTGATCCTGACCCTCTGCTTTGCACTGGTAAGGCCTCACCTGGAGTACTGCATCCAGATATGGAGTCTTCAGGACGGAAGAGACATGGACCTGCAGGAGCACATCCAGAGAAGGGCCACAAAAATGATCCAAGGGATGGAACACCCCTCCTATGAGGACAGGCTGAGAGAGCTGCTGAGAGAGCTGGGTCTTTTCAGCCTGGAGAAAAAAAGGCTCTGGGGAGACGTGAGAGCAACCTTTCCGTATCTAAAAGGGGCTATAAGAAAGAATGGGACAGACGCTTTATCAGGGACTGTGCTGACAGGACAAGGGGAAATGGTTTCAAACTAAAAGAGGGGAGATTTAGACTGGGTATTAGGAAAACATTTTTTAAAGTAAGTGTGGTGGGGCACTGGAACGGGCTGCCCAGAGAAGTAGCGGATGCCCAGTCCTTGGGAACATTCAAGGCCAAGCTGAACAGGGCTCTGAGCAAACTGATGTAGCTGTAGGTGTCCCCGTTCATTACAGGGGAGTTGGAGGAGATTACCTTTAAAGGTCCAACTCAAGTGATTCTGTGATTACACAACTGGGAAAGATACTGGCCAACTTCTCCCTTTGAAATCAGCCTGAAGGCAATGCAGGGTCAGGCTCTGTCACAGCAAAACATGTGGAGTCATTTAAATACAAATGTCAACATAGAAACGCCCAAAGTAAACAAAAATGACCACAGTACAACTCCTTTAAAGGTAATGACACAGAGATCCATCCCCAGGGGCTGCAGCAGTGGGAGTTGTGCCCAAGGGTGTGAGAGGAACTGGGCACTGCAGGCAGACACACAGCAGCAGCCCTGGGACTGCAGTGGCACAGAGGGCACACACTGGCACAGGGTGGCACACAGCAGCACAGTGCAGTTTCCAGGCACATGGGGCATAGACATCACCATCCCCTGCTTGAGGCGGCCCTGGCAGCACATGGGCACAGAAAACAGAGACTTCAGCTTAGGGCAGGAGCCTGGGGAGCACATGGGCAGCAGGCCTGGGGCCAAGGCACTGCACAGTCCCCGCTGGCAGGCAGTGCCAGAGGGAGCAGACAGCTGGTTTGGGGGCTGCAGCACACATGCAGCACAGTGGTGGTGCAGCGGTGGTGGGTGCTGCCCTCTTCCTTCTCCCTGCAGAAAGGACAGAGGAGGCTGCAAGTGTAGGAGAAGAGGTGAAAAAGAGCACAGACTGAAGCCGTACGAGGCAATTGGCACCAGATACGATTCAGTTTCCTGCCTCACAATGCCAGTGCAGTATGAAATCACATTAAGATGGCACCGGGGAGAGCTTCATCAGGAGTGCAAAAGCCATTAAACCAAAGGAAAGCAAATGGAGGGAAGAGGTGGTCCTCAGAAACGAGCAAAGCCAGCTGTGTAACAGTGAAGAACACACCGCAGGCAGAAGCAAACACAGGAATCATGCTGGGAGACGTTGGCTCTCAGAAGAAAGCAGCGGCCATGGAGGCTGTGGGAGGGAAGGGGTCTGAGGTGTGGGGCAGCTACAGGATGAGCTTCCTGTTAAAAACAAAGACACTGTGCCCTCAGTGTTAATTCCTGTATTCAGAAGCTTTTTAAAACAGTTTTCAATTGGAAAAAAAAGTCAGAATCCCCAAAAGACCACTTGCAGACACGACAGAGAGTGGCCACACAAGGATTTGTCTCAAAGGTGTGCAGTGCTCACTTCATAGAAAAAATGGTAAGAATTGTCCAGATTTTGTCACATTATGGCAGAATCTGCTGTAGCATAATTCTGGAGCCTCTCCGGCTCCCTTTCTTCAGGCCGAAGGGTTCCGTTCAGTGACATTCCAAGTGGACAACGCAGAGCACTAACCCTGATTTTAGTCTCATGAGCTTTGTTTCTGGCATCCCTGAGTACTACTGATTAATCCCATGGTTACGAAACACAGTATTTCTTCATCAGAATCCACCGCACGTACAGTTTCTCATCTGATGGAGAAAATTCTGCTGTCTGATCCTTGGCAAGGGAGTACAGCATTCTCAGGATAGCAATGGCAGATCCAGGAAATCTCAGGCTGTTTTTCTGAGAAATACTCAGTGCAAAGCTTCTATTCCGTTGACTCAGTCACGGCAATCTAGATACACACACAAGTTGACTCAAGAGGCTTCCAGCAGCCCAGGGCTAAGTAATGCCTGAAGAACAAGACAAGGGCTTCCGAAAAATGCCAGTGGCGTTCATTCAGACTTGAAAGTGCTGCCCTCATTGCTCTGTGCAACTCGCTCACACTAAAGGAAACAAGAAGTGCCGCGCTACAGCGCAGCTCCTTCTCCCGTTTGGCTGGGGGATCCCACAGCTCAGCCCCACAGCTGACAGCCCTGCGGGCAGTGAGCAGGGGGTTGGCACTGCCTGCACTGCAGGGCGCAGCGCCAGCACACCGCGAGCTCCCCTAGGCTGCCCCACTGACTGCGTCCCCATAACCTTTCCTAGAAGTGTGCCATCCTTTTGAGAGCTGAAGAAAGTCAAAGACACTGGACGAGCAAAGTACAAAGTAATCCCTCTGCACTTACTCCTCTGGCAAGTTTTGTTTTGAACGAATTTAGAGAATAAATCTACACCATACATACGCACATCTGCTTCAGTTCATGTTTTGATATGCTATAAACAAAACTTCATTCCGTGGAAGAACATTTTATTCAAATGTCTGTGCCAACTTCCAGACTGTCGCTGTTCATTCTTCTGTTCTGGTTTCAAAATAGCCAGCCAAAAATAGTTTGAGTTACACTAAATAGCAAGATGGCAGCAAAAATGATTGTTTACTCATGGAAAAATGACAAACAATAATCATAAGAAAGGTTTTGAAAACAAAAAAAAATTCACTAGAATAATTGAGTTTTTCTTGAGTACTAAAAAAGACAATTTCTTTTAAATAACAGAACAGCGAAGAAAGTACAAAAACAAAGGCTAAAAAAGAAACGTTTCTCACACAGAGCCCTGCTCCTAAGTTATCAGACTGGGACACACAAAATCAGACCTTATGGTTAGGAACAGCATTATAAAATGAAGGCATAAGCCCCTCTGCTGGCTCCATTTACAAACACTGCCCTCCGCATGTGGGACAGAACAATGCACACAAAGCAACCACTTCATGCAACGCTCTATCTTTAAGACGGGGTGGCCACAATGAATAGCCGTAAGACAAGCTCATCACAACAACTTATTACAACCACTGTATTTACTCCTTCTTGTGTCTTTACACTTCCTTGCTAAGAGGCAAAAGATAGTGCTATGAACAACTACCTGAACTTACAGTTGGTCCATAGAGCTGTGGGCTCTAGACTTAGACACCGCGACGATGCGCCCTGCTTCCTGCTATTAACGTTGGCACAGAGCAGCAAAGTGAGCCTTTCGCTATCCCCATCACATGTTTCAACCTGTTTCAAAATCAATTTTGCACAATCTTAAATCATGTATATTTATATAAGCTCTATGTGTTATATGTTAAGTAACATTTGGCAGGGTATCTTTGCTGAGTATTTCAGAATAGCTGCAAGCAAAGCATAATTTGCTGTTAAGACATTGGTTTGTGCACATGACTACTGAGATCGCTTGTTACAAAAACATCAGGATATTCAATCTTTAGTATTTTGATATCTTGGCTGACAAGGTTAAAATGTTACGACCTAATGCTTGAAACCCTGTGGCTGTCAAAACAAAGCCTTGTTGCTCAAATCTGTTAAGGGAGATTTCAAAATTAAAATCTCAGATTTCTTTGGAGTTTCAGGTTATCTTCTCCTGTGATACTTCTAATCATCGGCAGTGTAAGACCAAAGGATTTGGTAATGGCAAAGCCTACCAGCTGAAAGCTCGCTCCCTAATGCACCACAATACAAGCTGCAGACCAAACAATTCCCAGAATGTGTCCCTCCCGGCCTTTTAGAGTACCACTTTGAAATATACCCAGCACAGCCAAACACCACTGCCCTAACATCCTTATTTGCAAAGGTCTGCTCAGCTTAACCATGAGTCTCGCTTTCTCTATCACAGCTGCAATCACCAAGCATTTAAAGTGATTATCTTACTACTGATCTTAGTAATTATCTGTATGATGGGAGCATGGAAGATAACATCTATACTGTCACTGTAGTTCAGGACTTCAGCCAGCCTGTGCCCCAAGCTTCTCAACCATCCATACTGCTGATGTGTTGGTTTGCACTCAGCAGAGAAGGGAACAAGTCCACCACCTTCCCATATGGGAAGTGCAGAGGTAGTGCCATAGGTGGGTGAGACAGACTTGGACTAGGCACAGTCATCCTCCTTCCAGCACCACGTGCTCAAGTCAAGGCACATACTGAAACAAGAAGCCACATCCGAACAGCAAAGAACAGCAGAACATCAAATATGGTAAATACACAGATTAGTATTTCAGGTCAAAGGCTGGGATCCTGTGGGCTTTTAGGCAAGACTCCACGCATATTTTAGAATAAAAGATCCCAGCTTGCAACCTCATCCATTCTGATGAACAGCGGACATCAGCAATACAAATTATACAAAAAGGTGCAAGTTTTGCTGCACAAACAATAGATTAATTGTGATATTTCTCTTATCTGGGCTCAGACACAAGTACGCATGTATTTATATGCACAAAAGCAATTCATTGGACAGTTTCTCAGAGGAACTGTTATAGTTCCATAGATGACATATTTGTGTAATTGCATCTCTTCTGCTGAAGCTATACTAGCTTGCCACAGCAGTGAGGCCAGCTCACTGTCTCTTCCTGAAAGTCTGCATCCCAACACACTCTGCTTATTACACACTACAAGGAAGCAAACTGTGAATGTAACATCTGAGCTTTCCTTACTTGTGAACATTCAACATATTGGAAAATTGTACTGCACACAGATATGAAATAATACGCTGCCCACTATTTATATAATTTTGTTGTCATCACCACAAGAATGCTTCACTGTTCTTATACAAGCTTATTCAGTAAAAACAGGCATACATGCAAAAAAGTGCAGTATCTGTCTGTATCTTCCTGTAAGATCTGGAACGGTTATAACCATTAGGGAAATAATAAAGGGGAAAAAATAAACACCCATGCAAGTAATTGCAGATGAGTTGTACCTAAAGAAGAAGCCTGTAATGGGATCAAGTTTCAAACAGTGGTAAGGTCTGACGTCCTTCCTGCCTGCCCTGAGAGATAACTAGCATCCACAGGGTGGGTCGTATCTAGAGCACATCTTATGCTGTTAGATCTTAAAGCTGTATACGAACACAAAGCCTACAGGATTACTATGCAAACAAAGGAACACGCAAATGGAAGCAGGATTGAAGGAACTGTGCAAAGGTGACATGAACCCATTTGCTGAAGCACCGGAACAGAAGCTGTGAGTCCCTTACATGCACTGTGCTCAGGTTAAGGCTCTGTCACATTCAAGTGCTACTTCTGCTACGGAGGTATCAAACTTGGATAGAAAATTCAGCTCTTCTGAACAAGTTCCCTCTCATGATCAGAAGTTGGAACATCTACCTCAAGAAGTCATCAACAATCTCAAAAAGAGAGATCTGTTTATAACAGATATGCTTATATCACTTTTTAGGAATATTAAAATAGCATCTGCAATGAAATATACACTGTGGCAAGAGAAACATTAAGTAGCCAGAGCCAGAGCAGACCATTTGCCTATACATCCAAATCAGCTGCTGGGCAGCAACCACACCATCTGTGGAGATGCATCCACAGGAATGCTTCCTTCTCTCCCATGCATTCATTAATAGTGCATTTTTTCTTCTTATTTAGGGGGTTTTAATGGATAAGTATCATAGGCCATATAGCGTGAAAATTTTGTCTATAATCGGTTAATCTGTTAAAGTCTGGGGGATTTGAAATTCTGGGGAGCTAAATGTTAATTCTAAAAGACTGAAAGTTTAATATAGCTTTTTTTTTTTTTTTTTTTTTCCTGTTCAAAATACCACAACTTCAACTGAGAAGAACGGTTTTAAACTAGGAGAAATTAAAGGCACAGTAGCCAGAAGATAAGAAGATATCATGCAGTAAACAGCTAAAAAAAGCAGCGCCAAAGGAACACAAAATACAGAGAATGACTGAAAATGAGAGAAAGGGAATGAAGCAGGAAGCCAACACAAACCTCCCTTTTCCAAAGTGCAGACAGGTCAATAGCATGTACATAACATATCCTCTCATTAAAGATATGGCAACTATGAACCAAACTGCTGATTCAAGAGTCAGGATGCACAAAGATGATTACCAATTATCTGTGAGATGGGAAAACAGTAGACATAAAACTAGATACAAAATAAGCATGGGAAAAAAATAGCAAAGTTGTTCTACTTCATGTAACTTAAGGAAATATTTGAGAGATGTTGGCTCCGTTCAAGTTCATGCACATTGCCCCAGCAGTGCTCATCTATCTGAATTGGTTGCCAAAGGGGAAAGCAGCAAGCTACTTGCACTGCTCGGTGTTCTCACAGGGAAAATCAAAACAAAGAACTAAAAAAAGCTATATGTCCTTTGCCTTACTACTGACACATTTCTCCGGTTTAAAAAATAAAAAATAAAAAAAAGTAAAAAATCCCCAGCAACTCTGAAAGTGAAGCTTCACAGGAATAAACACAGTACGTTCACTACCACACAGTTGTTCAAGGGAATAGGGTAATTTCATATGAGGTAACCACGACCATCCGGGAAACACATACAAAAGCAGTGCTACCAGGTTGGGACTTCACAAGGAATCATTTCCTCTGCTATTGAGCTGTTGCCAGCCCAACCATGTCCAATGTTATATAGGATTGTCCTACAACATTTTGTTGAAGTCCAGGTAAAACAGTTGCCTGGCTTTTGGGTTCATTCTTGCTGTGTTCTGACAAATTCTCAGAAACAAGAAATTCTCTTGTTTTAACAGAATTTCTAAGGTATGGATTGAATGGGCTTTTTTCACTGAAATCTTCTCTGTTTAAAACTTCTTCATTATCATTTCCTTCATTTTTAATTGAGATCTGTTGGGAATCACATAAATCATCCTCCAGCATTTTGATGGGTTGGAGATTCTTGCATGGTATCAAAGCTGAATGTATTTGACTTCTGAAATCCTGATCAGTGATTATATAAGGCATGGATGGTGAAAGGTGCTTAGCAACTTCCTGTTCTTCATTATTGAGTATCTTTTTATCACTATTTAGCAGAGTTAATTTGTATTCAGAGATATTCTGTGCCTCATTTGTATTAATGTCAGTACTTCCAGAAACACATTTTTCACAATCCATTAGTAGTGATCCTTCATGTTCTTCTTCAGGAAAACAATCTTCCAAAACACTTATGTTTTCCAGGCCTCTGGTTTTATCCTCACATGCCACTCCCTTTGAAAATGAATTATTCTGTCAGTATAAAGGCGTGAATTTGATAGTTACATAAATATAGATAAATTATCAGAAGACTACTTAATACATGAAACATTGCTGGTGTAAGTGCATTCCAGCACATGCTGTTAAATGTGAACAAGTATTTTAAAGAAGATGTTATTCTATCTATTTGCTAAATACTTTCACTTCATGCTCTGAATGAACATGCACTGTTTTCCATCTGGTCCACTTTAACCAATTAGTGTATGGACAAAATTTAAAGTTCATAGATTACACTTTCTATTGAATCTTGATCAACTCCATTCAAATATAAAGTAGAAAAGTAGAAAAACATCAGTGAGGATATATGCAAACAATTAAAAAGATGAATTATCAACTTTGATTATATGCTACACTACATTTTTTTTGGAGAACGGAGGAAATATCAAGACGTGGAGATTTCAGTCAGTGGTTATAGTTAGAAAACAACTGTCACAAGTGCTTGTCTTCTGCCCATTTGATTCCCTCTTTAATAAATAAAACTGCATGTGTTACCATAGCTGTGTCAAGAGGCCATTGCACTGCAACGCTCTCTGCAGGATTGGGTACATCAGGCCAGCAAACCTTTTTAAACCTGTCATTGAGAAAGGATGTTTAGTCAAATGTTGAAAAAAATAGATTTTTTAAAATCTTGTGTAACAGAGACTGCAGAATTAATTGTTAATGCACAGCAGTCAATTTTCTGATCATACAATACACTAAATAATAACAAAATAAGGCCATATACAAAAACTGCTGTGGTTATGTTTCTGGCAGTTCTTCAGAAAAAAAATTCCAAATCAAGTAAATTACACTCTACTGAAAGTGTCCAAAGCAGTATACCACACAAAAGCAACACTGAGTTCTTATTTTAGCAGCAGCTAAATCGCTTTAAGTGAAGCAGTACCTTATAGCCTTCTCATGGAGTAGTAGACAGGAAAGAAAATAGTTAATTCATATTATGTTTTAAGTGAATCAAAACTTGGCCAGAGCTTGACTTTTCACATCACAACTTGATCCACAGAAGAATATGAACACTAAACTACATCTCAAAGCATTCTCCAGGATGAAATTATAGTTTGTTTCTTTTATAAAAAATCAGAAAAGCAGATGAAGATGTGAAACTGCTGGAAATCACACTTATCACATCAACTATACTTATAACTATATACTATGTTTATCTATCTATCTATCAACTTACATCTCTTTAGAAGTTTTCATATCTTAGAACCTTCCAAAAGAACTGTTACTGTTAAGCTTACTATTAAGCTCTGTCCAAACAACCCAGTCATTCTTCAGGCTAAAGAAAAACACATTTTTAACCATAGCAAATCCTCACAACCATCTCTGGGATACTGTATCCCTGATTTCTGAGAAATCTGAAATCTGGCTGGGGGCTTCTCTTACAGTAGATAAAAGGATTACAGATCATATATAAATATGGATTCAAACCCATGGATCAAGCATACAAATGCTTTCACATGATCAATTTTTTTAGTTTATTTACAGTGCAAGGAAAGTGTACATAAACTAACCAAGGTAATACTAGCATAGCTAAGATCAGCAATACAGCTTAAGTAAAATTTGTTTTAGTGGTGTGCTTGTGAGACATATATTTAGAGTGTATGGGAATCTTTCTTTTAGCTTTATTAATCATTATTATTTCAACGTCTGAATTAAATTATACTTTTCTCACTTGAGTGACCACAGAACTGCAACTAGCATTTTCCATAAATTGAAACAGAGTACCAAATCCACCTCTCTCTCTCTTTTTGTTTTTTAACTGCACTTTCTGAAATTAATATTTACTCGTGGTCTATAGCATATTAACTGGTGTTACAAGATAATCTGCATGCTTAGTTATTTGTTGCTCCGTCTGCCAGCTATACTTTCCTAATCTGACACTGGTATGAAAACCAACTCATAAGCATTCTGAAAACAAATAAAAACTTCCTTTTTATAATTTAAAATATATTGACTAGATTCAAATTTAGAAGACGAAAAATGTACTTACAGATGTTTTTTCATAATGCACGTTATCCAAAGGCCTAACAGAAACAACATGCTTAATCCAACTGGTAGAGCAATAAAAATAACATCTTCTTTATCTTTAGAGGAAAAAACAGATGGTCATCATTTCTTCCTATGTTTCAATAAAACAGCTGATTTTCTACACCAAGGTCACCTAATTAGCAACACTGTAAAGACCTTTGCCAAAATTAATCACAATTACTCAGAATACTGAATAGTACCCATTGTACAACATGTGAAAAGTTGAGCATTCTTCCCCCAGCTACTAAGACAGAAAATGAAGAAAAACAAATAGCATCACACAGTAATCCAGACTGGAGTGGACCAGTTCACCATGTCCAATGTAGAAATCAGAATCAGGTTTTTAGTCCTGTGCTAGTGCCAACCACTGACTGCCATCCAGGATGAAAAGCCTAATACATTTCTGGGTACTTTCGAGTAACCTAAAACCACTGTACAGTGACACTGCCACTTGTTACTACTGGATAAATTTTACATACAGTGCCAGACATGGGTTTTAAGTATGCTTAAAATATAGTTATTCTAATGACTGAAACATACTATACAGATTTCTGAGCTAGCTTCCAAGTACCTACCAGAGGCAGGTAAAAATAGCAACGGAGACCAGATTTCAGCACAGCCTAACCTATCTTGTATGTGAGTGGCAGAAGAATTTACAGGCAGAAAATAAAATTAGCTTCACATCTCATACCCTATTCAAGGGCAACTAATGTACTTTCTTTATATTTCAGTTCACACGTACACGCATATACATATTTTACTGTGACTATGTGCAACTATATATTTGTATACACACATGCATGTACGGAAAACATTCCTCCAGAAGCAGAAAAGAAAAAGCATCTGATTTTCTGCTTGCAATCATCTTATTAATCCCCATAGTAAAAAAGTTATTCAGTGCATAGTCATTCTAAACCTAGTATCTTGGATGGAAATGTCTACTTTCTGATCAACTGTAAGACACCCTATCCCATAACTGTTGGCATGGAAATAACATGTTGATCCCACAAAAAATTATAGCATTCCACAATTTTATTGACAGCCAAAAAAACCTCAAAAAACACGTGGCTTTTTGACTTGTCTCAAAGTTTAAGTCTGTAAAGATTTCCAGTGAAAGAAAGTTAAATTCAGCTCATGTTGATCATTCTTACTTACTTTAATATCTATTTTAAAAGTTACTCTAACAAACAACTAACCAAAAAGAATCCTGTATTTATCATCCCCAAAACTGCTTTCAAAATAGTAGTGACTAACCTTGAAAACTACTTACTGAATTTCAAAGTCTTGAATGTTTTTGGCTCTCCAATGGTTCCACCAGCTCTGTTGCTTGCCATGATATAGACAGTGTATTGTGTATTAGCCTGTAAAGACTTCAGTGTGTATTGTAGCACATCGGAGTTCACTGTTTCATCTTTTAAGGAAAATATTTATGTTAGTAAACACACAAAACAGCAGTTCTTTCTATTTCCATAAGCTCTGGAATCCAGGCTAAGAAATTAAAACTTTAAAACAGCTGGTAAAATTTGTGTTTCTGCAGCTTATAAATTTTGACTATATTTCTAACGACGCAGCTAGACAGCGATCATCCAAAAGAATGCAATCTACTGGACTTGGATACAACCCCCCATAAAGTCAGAGGAAATTAGCAAATCTTCCCTTGTCAATTACTGAAATTAATATGGGTATGTTTTACTTTAGAAATATTTTAGACAGGGCACGTATCCTAACATTTTATGTCTACAAACAGATAAAGAATATGTTCATAACATGGAATTAAGATATTTTCTGGTGAATTTAGTCTATGCCAGTATATTGTTACTCAGCCAAATTAAGAACCACTGGGGTAACAGATATGTTGCAACATATCCTGAGAATAAACAAAGTACATTTCCCCTAAATCAAGATGGGGAAAATGGAGTCCTGGAGTTAAAACGCCAACAGTGAGATCACCTTGGCACAAACTCAGAGTTCTATTTTCAGATGTGACAAACAAATGTGACAACAGAAAAGCCTACAAAAACAACAGTATAGCCGGGTTTTGCCTTTTAAAACTAACTTACATGAGCTGCTTTTTACATCTGTTTTTTTTAAGAAGCTAATCTGAATCCCTAGAATAGACACGGTCTGTTTCATGTGAGAAGCTTTCCAATGCCTTACACATTATGCTTTGGTGACGGCTGCGTGTGGGAGAATGACCCCACACAAAACATTCAGTAACTAATATGGCATAACTCATTCAGAAATTAACATGGCAAGAATAATTGTACGTAGAAGGCTCAATCTGACAAACTGTCACAGCTTCTCTCTAATTTACAAACTGTCTAAAATACTTTTGCCTTGGCTCTAAACTGGTTATCCAGAAACAACTGAAGACATGCCAAGATTTATTAGTGTGAGTTTGTTTAAAAAAATTATTATGTTAGGTATCTCCTAACAGCAATGTTTGAAGCAAAGAAGGAAAAGAACATGATGAGTGATACAACAGTACTCTTAATAAACCAAGCAGGAAGAAGAAAATTAGGTCACACGAACACTTCTTATGAAAGGATGTGCATGGAACTTACAAACTCACTGAAATCTCATTAACTTCAAATCCATGAATTTGCACAGGATCTATGCCTCATTAATGTATTCCATCTGCACTTTATCTCCTCTACCTTTGTTGTGATTTCTTTTAACTGGCTTCAAATATGTCATCATAGACACATTTAAAATGAAGAAAGACTAGTACTTATGCAAGAGTGGAAAACTACAAGTATACAAGTATACAGCAAATAATAGTTTCTGATTTGGCATAGACCTGCAAAAAATTTATTTATTTATTTATTTATTTACATTTTGGAGAACAAGCTGCAAAAAATCTCTAATATATGAGCTGCTATCTATCCTGCTCTCAGAAAGAGAAAAGGAATGATAATGCTACCACAGTCTGACTAAATTAACACTTAGATCCATCATATTTGCACCCCCTCAGTGAAGCACAAAGGAGAATGTGGTTAACACTCCTGGCTGCATCACCAAGGATAGTACATTAACAGTAAAAAAATAATTTTAAAAAATTATTAACATCAAGCAATGCTGTACAAAACAAGTTCAGAACAGATAAAGAAACAGAACAAGACTACACATGCAGTACTAAAGCAGGGAATGTTCACTAGCATACTTCTTTGTTTCAGTTAAATCTAAAAATAATAAAAATAAACCTTATGTAAGCAGTATTTAGTATCAGTATTTTCAGATATATTTATGACATACAAGAACAAAGTTTGCTATTAACTACAGAGAGCAGACTGTCATAACCCAGTCAAAAGTTTTGATGTTTGATGAATACGTACTCAATTCTTTTCCACCTTCAGGTTTATAAAATATCGTGTAGTTGTTGATAAAGCCATTTCTTTTATCCTTTGAAATCTCATTCCATTTTATTGTAACCTCATTTTTGCCTGGGAAACCCGTATCAGCCACAGGGCCTTCTGATGGCTCTGCATTAGAACATTGCAAATTAGAAAAAGAAATGAATTAGTCTACCTGTCAGTATTACCCACGCGTTATTTCTCACATACCAATAACACTACCTAATGTAAATGTCTTACAAGTGCTTTGATACAGCTCCTAACTTTTCTCACTCTCTCCAGTGTTTAACTTCTGATAATATATCCCCATGTCTATCTTGATCTTCGCATATTTCTTAGTGTTATTGCATCCATATACCTCAAGACCACTAAAAGGCTCTGTCCTCACAACATCACAGAGAGGTAACTCATAACTGAAGTGCTCACTGTGCTTCAATTTTGTATAAAACTAATCTCTGCCGACATTTAATGCTATCACAGCATTCAAATCATAGTCGTGCTAGTAAGTGTTATTCTATCACACAGCAGTCCATTATCTTTTTCTAGTAATTACTGTTTAATCCTGCTTTGTACAATGTGTGCACGCACACTTACATAGGTCTATATGCACAAACAAGAGAAAATTTTCTCCAGAAATCTTTAAATTATCAGTAAACTACATTCTTACAGCTGGCTGTATAAAGCACCACATTCACATTAAACTTCTATGAATAAAAAAAAATTTCACACACATACACCCAATTTCATCTGTGTTTCTATTCAGCTACAAATGTCATTGCATATCGTTTTTGTTTTCTTTTTTTTTTTTGTATGCGGGGCATCACATATACTATTACAATATAAAATTTAACAAAAAGCATGATTTTCAAACTATTGTTTTAATCTGTGAGAAGAATATCTCATACACAAGCACAAGTAGCACAGTCAACTGCATCATTAAAACCAAGCCAAAATATATATCTAAATGCAGCTGCAACCTTTAAGAGAAACCCACAACTGTTCCATGTTTGTAGCTGTACTCTTTCCAAGTGCTCTGCATACAGTACATAACATTTACAACAAATTAGTGTATTCATGCAGCACTGTACCATTTTCTTCAACATCTACTTCTCTCCTTCAGAAACACCAGTACCAAATTTCACAAATAAAATACACCCTAAGAAAGAAACTATCTTTCACAACATTATTGGTTTTAAATACATACTTTTTTCTTGAACATAAGTTTGTATGGAATACGGAGCCGCTACTTTATTTCCATAAATAGGATACACTGACATGTTGTAGCATACAAATGATTTAAAGTTTTCTGTAAAGACAAAAAAAGGAATATTTGCATAGAATTCTGCACTTAATACTTTTACAACTAAAGGAGACTCAATCACGGTGTCTTCCTTTGTGGATAGTACAGAATACATTTATTATTTCAAGTTCTCATTACAACATTTAACAGAAATAATTCTATTTTGTAAGATTACCAGCATTCTGAATCATTTTTCCCAGGAAATAGTTTGAACTAGTAATTATTCTTCAGCTTTATATAGTTTCCATATATGAAGGCCACTTACTCATTTCTAATAGTTTGAGATTTTGGCAGAAATTTTCATTTTCACATTATCATTATAAAATGATAATTTTGGGAACATTTTCAATTTCATAAGATAGGTTTACTGCTCTGCAGAAAAGAGCTTTGTTTATTGAGCCCCAGCTCATAACTGTGCATTGATCATCCAATTATGCTGACTGTAAATACACCTCTAAGCATCCTGACTCACAGCACAACTGTGTGCACAACACAGTACAAATGAAATCTCTGCACTGGACTTTTATAGGTTTCAAAACACAGTTCAAGTTTCCTTATCAAGGAAATTATGTTATGCCAAGTAATCAGCAGGATGCACCTCTGTACTTAAAATAACTCATCAACTCAGAGAGGACTCATTTGTGGTTTTATGAGAAGCTTTAGGGGTTTCCTGTACCACTCCTCCTCAAACTCAGCAAGTATGGTTCTATAGACAAATCCATATATTATATCAGCTTTCCACTGCTTTTTCAGTCTCTTACACTTATCACAGCCCAGCACAAATGAGGATGGCCCACATGCTGTCTGTAAAATAATTCCACAAGTAACAGAATCAGGCTTGAACAGACAAATTACACTACATTTCTAGTGTAACTTGTGCTCAGGGTAACCAAGATGTCCTAGTTATGCTAAGGAAGAAGATGCTTTTTAATTAAGAACACTTGTTAGTACAATTTCTTCCTTATAACAATTTGTTGAAATAGCACAATTTTCAGCATAAGTGTCAGGAGTCAAGAGTCAAGTCAATTTGTTCTAAATGTGTACTGCTCTTGAACTTTATTTTGAGGAGAATGTTGTTTAATTTGTTTTACTATACTTAGCTTCATATATGGAAACACTATTTACATCAGTGTTGTCTGTGCCAGTAAGATACATTTCAGTAGCAAGGTAAGCACTCATTAACAAACTAGGTGTTCCTTTTTACTTTAGAAAAATGAAGTGTACTTGCTTCCTGAATACTTTAGAAATTCTTCTTGCTAGATGTAGAACTCAGAAGGATCCTCATATGAACAAAAGCAACTTTCAAGTTTATTAAATTTAAGTTCACTAGTGGAAAACTAAAGTAATAAGAATCCAAGTCACATTCATGTACTAATTCAAACATTTTTACAATTGCTCCTGTATTTGTAAAGTAAAAACAAAGGAAAGATGCCTTTCATTACCTGCAGACAACACACAAGAACAACACACTCACTCTGGTATTAACATTCACAGTTTGCCACAGTTTTGTCAGTACATCATAAGGCCACTGAAACCTCTGATGATGCCTTAGGTCATAATACAAAGGTGATTATAAGATACTTAAGGCAGCGTATGGGAACTGCTAGGCCACGACCTGAACCAGTGATTGAACACCTGGTGAAGGAACACAGCCAGCCCTGAGAGCACAAATGGAAGCAATTCACCTGTACAACTAGACGGGGTGGACTTGGCTCCATCCCTCCCTCTCACTTAAGGGATGGCAGCTGCAAGGGAAGTATCTCTATTTGCAGATTGCCTCCTCTGGAGAACTTGGTGAGATCTAATCCTCAGAAACGGATAAGCAATAACTTATTTATTACTCAATTGTCACTGCTACCTTTCTTGGGTTTGAAGCAACTGTCTGCTGCCACTTATCCTTACAAAGAGGTTGACCAATCATCTCTCCATTAGTTTATTTTAAAGTAAAATTCTCTTTGAAATTCTCTTGCAGGTTTCTTGCTCTCTACAACACAGGAAGACACTGTCTTTTCCCATCCCTGAGTTCCGTTTTTTCGCTCTAGATTATTCTGCTATATCTACCGTGCATCTGTCACAGGACATAAGACAGTGAAAACATGGTATCTGTAGCCTAATGTTATACAGGAACAAAGACCATCTTGTGTAAAAATCTGAGGGATAAAATTGCTGTTGAACAACATGCAGCAATTTCAGCATAAAATAAGGCTGTTATTATTTTGTCTCTGTAAAGCTGCATGAAATCAAATCCTTCAGTATTGGATTGCTATCTTTCAAATATCAGTGCTCCTATTCTTTATGTGCCTAATGTGATACAACTTGAAGTACAGCAGTCTAGATCAGGATCAAGAGTGAAACTCTCAGAGGCAATATGAAAGCAGATGATCAATTCCTGTTAACTCTACCTAAAAGCCAATGAAGGTTAGATATCCTGTTCTTTGACTTTTTTCAAGCACGTATGTTAACACAGACATGAAAGGGATTCACTTGACAAAAAGCAGAACAATAATGTTAATTTCAAATCAGCTGCTTGCAAATTCAACCTCATTGTTCTTTCTTGTCTACATACAAATAAATACACATAAGTATCTATATGTACATAGAAGCATACATTATTACAGCTGTAACTTGTAAATGAACGTACTTTTGTTAGGTTTCCACTTTGTAGAATTTGATATATACTGCCATGACCTACAAAAAGGATCTGTCTCCATTTCCTCATACCACTCAACTACATACTCGGTTACTTCTGGCTTAGAGACTGTCCATTCCAGAATCACTTCTTCCTCTGTTGTAAAGGTTCTCACTGCTTCAATAATTTGAGAAGCTAAAAATGTAACAGAATGTCATCAATTCTATCTTTGTGAAAACTGTAGCATGAGAACAATTCAGTCACAGCAAGCTGAGATTGCTTCTTTAGAGAAGTATGAGGCTTAGCCAAGGTTAAGAAAAAGTGACTTTACAACTACATACACATATATCAAAAACACCTTAAAATGAAGCATATAAGAACTATAACTTTAAAAAAGAGGGAGGGACCAATAAAATAATCAAGACAGTAAAAAAAAGAGATTTACACAGAATCGAAAAGCACTTCTCTTGTAGAATCTAAATTTCACAGCTTATTAATTATAGTTAGTGAGGATAAGCAAGTTGGAGAATCAAATGGCAATAGGAAAACAAATAAAGCAAGTCAGCAGGATTGTGAAGCAAAAGCAGACTATTAACCTGTAGAACAAAATTAATGGAAATCTGACTGAAAACTTAATTGAGGAAAGCAGAAAGAGAAAAAAAAGACTTGGCAACGCAAAGTTAAAATATGAGTATATAGAAAGAAGAAACATAGCATGGTAAAAACAGAAATGTTTACTGAAGAATATGGAAGTGGACAGAGAAGTAGGCAGCAATCTCCAGGACACGATGACAACATGTCTGCATATCCAATTATTCTGATTAGACTGGAATTTAATTGTGCAATTTCAGAGAAGCACTTCTACAACTGATGGAGGAGAAGTGATTCAACAGTGGGTCAACTGCCACCTTTCTCCCGGACCATGGGTAGTTTGCAGGATATTGCAATACAAGGCTAACAAAGATATATGAATTAAGCATAAGAGCTCAAGAAGAATGTGCACGGAAGTGCGCAGAATGAAGTGTATATAAAACAAGAATGTTTCTCTCTCCAGTTCTGTTAGGAACTTCTATTAAAATGGGAATAACATCATACATGGTGCAATTATGCCATGAGGTAACCAATTTTATGGTCTGGGAGATGGGTGAGGCATAATTTGATGATGCTATAAATTTATTTGGGAGATTCGAGATTTGAACAAAAACAAAGTAATGCAACAGAAATAATAATGCAACAGAAATAATATCACATCAGAAAATGCTGGTATTTTAACAATGATATGTTAAAACAAAAGTCCCAACAATAATCTTCTGCAAAAGAAACATGGTCTGAGAGCTAAACACAACAAGAGAAACACTACTGTTCCAGTAAAAATTAACAGACTATGTAGTCTTACATATATGGTTCTATGTATGATTCAAAGACAAAAGTCCTTAGCACAATTTTGCTTCCACTACAATAGAACTTTTACGCAGATTTCAAAAATACCATTTGCTTGTAAAGAGAAAAATATATTGCAATATTAAAAAATCTTACATTTTTCATCAGTGGATGGAATCCTCAAAACAGCTGCAGGAGAATTTCCAGCAGAATTATAGGCAGTAAGAGATATTATATATGCCTCTTCATTTAAAAGTAAAGTAATTTTCTTATCAGAAGTGAAGTTTGTCATTTGAAGTGCAGCATTATTTTCTGGAAAATACTGTATTTTGTAGCCTAGAATTCTTCCATGGGGTGGAAAGTTGCTTAGCAGCTATTAAAAGAATGTATTAGTAAATTTTTCACAGTGTTATCTTTATAATCAAAATTATATTCTTATTAAAGCGCATAGAACCTCTATAAATAAAAAATACACATGCTAAAAAAACATGGTGGAGGGTAGTTAGGGGGATGTTTCAGTTATTAGAATGCAAACATTTGCTAGCTCACAAGCAGTTAGTTCATCATCTTGCTTCTCAATACAGGTTTCTTAGAACATCTCACTACTTCAAAACAGCAGCTCTAGAAACAATTAGCATGTTTTATTACCAGAAAGATACTGATAATCTTTAAACTATTTTATAGCAATATTTTGCCCTAAGAAGATACATTAGGAAATCACAGAAGAGAGCACTTCTTAAAAACATCTATCAAAAGTGATCTCACAAAACTGCACCTGAAATCACCAGAAAATCCAAAAATTACACTGCAGCATTAGAGAAAACTACAACATAAACCTAGTCATCTGTTTCAGTAATTTCATTACATAAATGTTTCATTTTACTAAAAGACTATTAAATTTAAATGTGAATTTAAACACAGCATTGGTAAACTGCATTATTTAAGATCAGCTGCAAGGATTTTCAATCAGGTTTTCTAGTGATCTGAACACAGTGAAAATATCTTTTTCTCCATTTACAACAAAGTTCTATTAATCTACCCCTCGCTTAACCAAAGCCTTTTCACTTCTAGTTTGGTTCAGGAAGGGTGTTGTTGTTCATTTGTTTTTCTGATGACAACAAAAGAGTGTATTTACCTTCCACATAAGATACACGGATCTGTTTCCAGATGAGGTTGAAGACTCAATTACTCTCCACAAATCCACTTTTTCTGAGGGAGCTATTAAAAAACAACAACAAAAATCCTGAAATCTGTTGAGATATCTGGTCAAAAGGATGCCTCATACCGTATGACATCGTGCTCAGCAAAAAAATCTGGAAACAAAGGGGCAGATGCTCAGAATGATAGCATCTGTCCTCCCTCACTTTGAGTACAGTGCACAGGTTTGGGCACCATAATATAAGACAAAGCTATCAGACAGTGACCAAGGAAGGACCACAAAGAAGGGGAAGGGTCTAGAGGAGAAGATGTATGAGGAGTAGCTGAGGCCTCAGGGTTTGTTCAGCCCAGAGCAGAGGAGCTGAGGGGAGGCTTCATGGCCTCAACAATCTCTCATAAAGGATCAACAAAAAATACTCCCTGAGTCTCTGAGGTGTGCTTGGTATGTCCCTAACACTTGCAGTGCAAGGCTGTTGGGATGGCAACAAACTAAAGGCTGGCAGCAACAAAGGATGGTACCCTGTTCTCACACAAGATAGCTTTACTTCACTGACAGACTGGCCTGTCTTTCCCACAAGAATGTTTTTGCTAGAAACTTTGCAAATTTGTCATTGCAAACTCACTTGTTTAGAGTCTTGGGACAGTGCACCAGCAAACCTAGCACACATTAAAGGATGCCTGAGGGGCCCCATGTTGTCATCTTCATGGTCGTCATTGCTGTTTGCCAGTTTGAGACTGCAACCTTTGGACATGTGCTCAGTCCCTGCCCACCCCCTGCATCCCTTCTCCACTGCCAGCTCAAAATAGACCTTCAAAACAGACTGGTCATCAATCTTTTCCTATCTCTCTTTAACTCTCATTCTTTCTCCATTTTCCTCAGTTTTCTCTTTTCACTCTTTTTCTCTCATAAAATTATTAAGTAACTGCAAGAATTAGTTTGGGTTCTTAAAACTCATATCTCTTATAAAATTGCTAAGTTGTAAAGTTGTTAAGTAATTGTGAGATTTATCTTAGTTCCTTATATTAGCTGCATGGCTTAACATAGATTGTGTTTTAGTGACAATATTATATAGAGGATAATTGTAGTTTATCAATTCTCATTAAAACTGATGATTGTGCACCTCTGTATATTGTTTTATCTTGATTTAACTGGGGTATTTGTGAATCACCCCCTCCCACCCTCATGCACAGGAAGTGACATCTTCGTGGGTTCCTTACCAACTCAGGATATTCTAAGATTCTGTGTTTTTATGATTCCCAAGTAACTGTTATGTATTATGAGCCCTGCTGTCCTGGAAGAAGGGAAGTTGTGAATGATGTCTTTGGGTTGCTTTGCTTGCATGCGCAACTTCGGCTTTACCTAGTAAACTGTCTTAATGTCAACCCTTGAGCTGTTTTCTCTTACCTTTCCAATTCTCTCTCCCTCTCTGGTACAGGGTAAGTGAGTGAGCAGCTGTGTGGTGCAGGTTTAACCCTGCCTACCAGGATTAAACCACAACGTGTTTTACAGCTGGTAATTAATTTTGTCTACTTATTAGTCACTTTACTGTATGTAACCGTTGAACTACATTTCTTCTACTGTCCTATTTCACATATTTTCGTTCTCCACATACTCTTTTTAATATCTCCTCCCTTCCTGTCTCTCTATTCACCTATTTTCTCCCTATGTTGTTTGTATTTAAATTACCTTTCAAACCTTTTCCTCTCCTTATCTGTCTTACAGTTTTTCCTCTTCTGTATTTATTTAAAATGCACATTAGTACTGGTTAAATAATAGAATTATAAATTCAATAGATCGATTTGCTGAAAATAATTTTCTGTTATTAACTCACAATACCCCAAAATATATCCTCAAAATAAATAAATAAATAAATAAATAAATAAATAAATAAAATAAAAACCCACTATACAGTTGGCCTACCTTTATCTTCTGTACTTGCTCTTTCCTCTTTACACCATTCACTCCAGAGTTTTGATTCAACACTAATACACCGAATGGCAACCAAATACTCTGTGGAGTCCCACAGCCCTGTGAGATTATGTGTCGATATCTCTTCTCCAGAAGCCACCATAACAGTGTCAATTTCCTGAAATTGATGCATGTACAAAAATGGTTAGCTATAAAACTGGATGCAGACACATGGCCTGGCTTTAAAATACTCATGATGAAATTCTGACCTTTCTCATGTCTCCTTAAAACTCAAAATCACTTGGTTTTTATTTCAATTTTTGTGTAGTATCTTCATTCTTCCCATAAAACTCTGGTTCCTGAAAAACTTTAGCCTAAAGTAGATCGGGATTGACTGACGTGTGACTTGAATCACGTGCAGCTACCAAGTAGTTCAAGGGCAGCTGTGCTGGGCAGCTGTGCTGGTAGAGGTGGTGCTGGGTAGCTGTAGTTCCTAACAACTGAAAACAACTGAGTATTGCTAGAGCTAAATATCACCTGCATAATAATAACTAAATAATACCCTGGATACAGCTGGAAACATCCTTCAAGAGGCAATGATCACCTGAACATTCTGAACAGACCTTTTAAATAAATTTTCTAATGTACACCATAAACCAAAACCATTCTGTCCACCAGTTCATTCAGAAAATTATATGCTGAGACCAACAGCTAAGATGCTAATTAAAAAACATGTTAGCGTCAGGAACTTCTTTCAAGCTCCAAGAACTTCTATTAGTTACACTGATGACTTTTTTTTATTCTCTGCCAGTATTGAACACACAATGTGTAAAAAAAAATGTGTTCTAGTGAGCTAAAAAAAAAAAAAGCAGCCTGTCTAAAACCTTATTAAATTTGAAATGGAAAACAGTAAGACTGTGAATGGAATCATCACTTTCATACTGAGAAGCATGAAATAAGCCATCTGAAATAAGACAAAGTCTAAATGATATTGTTTTTCCCTACAGCCATCCTTCATTTAAGTGTCAGAAAGACAGACTCAGAAAAATAACCCACTTATTTTCTATCTTGCAAATCTATACTTTCATATGCTTGAAGATTGATATATAATTAGTTCATCTTAATCTGATTCATTTACTATGGTTGGAAGTAAATGCTGTTTTCATTTCCAGAACGCAAAGCAAAAATAACATCTTGACTAATTACGTGTGTGTAACAGGCCATTCCTTTGCCATTCACAGAAATATCAGAAATACTGTATGTATCAAAATATATACTGACCAAAAGGAAAAGAAAATTCATCCCAGACAACCAAACAACGAACTGAACGCATACCTAATTATCATCCACTAAAATAACAAGCTTTTATCATCATTTCTAATCGCTTCTTGTCTTTTTTATAGATAGCCTTTTATAGCGTTATGAAATTAGTTACAAAGCCCACATTCAAAAGAGAACAAGAGCAGCTTACCGATGAGTTTGAATACAAGTTTCTGTATCGAATCTGGCATTTTACATCCAGTAAGCGTGTACTTTTCTCAGGTATTTTCCAGGTTACTGCAAGCAACTGCTTTATACCAGCATATTTTTTTAATGAAAGTATTTTAGGAGGTTGAAATCTCTCTAGAATGGAGAAACAAAAGAAAAAGCTTACATAAATATCAGAACTGGTCTATATGTTTTCCAAGAAGTTTAACTACTACTCCAATTACATACAGCCCAGCAGAGAATTCATATGATGGCTCTATATATGGGAAATTATTTATAAGAGATTGTACATGTAATTAAAGCTAACAAATTCACTCTCAAATAGATGTACAGATTTCTCCCACCTGTATCAGTGCTGAAGAATACTACTAGAATCTCTTTTCACAGACAACAGCAGGGAAAAGAACTGGCGCTCAGTTGCTAAGGTCAATTTCCAAATGCAGATGAGGAAATAATTCTGTCACAAAGGACTTCAGGGCAAGAGCAATGTGAAAAACAACAGATAAACACAAAAGAAAGATGACTGATACATAGGATGTGGAAAGTAACATGGAGCCGCTGCAAGCCTGAACACAAGGCAAAAAGGCACACAAGGCTGGAGAATTGATGGAGTGCTGCATCAAAAACACAGAATTAAAAGGATTACATTTGTTTCCTCTCTCAAACAGCACTGTTAAGCCTCTTGAGTTCTTAACACTGACTAGGATAACTGACTCTTCTTGACATTTCTTTACCACAGCTAAAATCTGTACCTCACATAACTTCTTGTGTGCTATGTGTGGTACATGCAGCTGTTTCATGCCTGAAAATCACCAAGGAGCTGAATCTGACACACAAGATTTGAGCAGAAAAATAACATCACTGTAGCTTAGTTGTTTATATTCCACAAAATACATCTCAGGGCAAGCCTTATAACTGGGACTCATCCTAGACTCACCCTTTCCACCAACATTTCACATAGAGCCACCAAATACAACATATTGCAGCAGCCTGTCCCTCACACTAGAGAAGAAAGTATTTAGAGGGATGTACATTATGAAGGAAAGAGGGACAATGCTGACTTCACTCTACTGAGATCAAAATCTTGAATACATACACCAGAATGAGTGGAGGAGAATGCAATACAGAAGAAGAGGAAGCCAAAATAGTACTACTGCTCCTGAGAACTGCAGAATGGGTGATTTTTTTTTTACATTCCTAATCAGAAAGTAGAATAGCAGAATAAATGATGGGCAGATCTGGTGATATGATGATATTACCATTCATTTACAGCCACTCTACTGACACCTAGTACTTCTCAAAAATACAAACAGTCCAAGTACCAGTTATTTTAAGAAAGAATTTTAGTATATTGCCTTTACTCAGATTAAAAAATGCTTCAGTAATTTTTGCTTTATTGCAGACATTAGCTAAAATATGGAGTTAGATATTCTATATTATGAATACAGCTTTTTTTTTTTTTTTTTCTTTTTTAAATCATCTCTTGGTAAGGCCAAGAAATTGCTAAAATTTGCTGTCTTTTCCTAACAGTTCAAAGAATCTTACATAGAAAGACAATCAGTTAAAACATAAGAGGAGATTCACTTGACTAAATTGGAAGCATCCAAATTTTCAGAAAATTAAAAGGAATTAAGCATTTTATTAAACACTAGATGTCATTCACTTCAGACATTTTGCAATCTCACAGTTTAATCTTTTAGGTAGTCAAGTGTGGAGTCAGGACTTGGACTCAATGATCCATTTGGGTCTCTTCCAACTTAGGATATTCTACTGTTCTATGAATTTTAACTAGCAATTAAAATGAGTTGGTCATTCAAAAGAAAACCAATACAAAACTAACTGAAATCTAAAGAATTATTTCAAAACTTTATATTGGAAATATTATTTTTCATAGTCTTATTCTACTAAAACTAACTCACTTTACACAATTTGATCCAGAATTCTCTAAGGTGTATTTACAGAGAAGAAAAAATAAATGGGGAAGATGCCATTAGTTCAACATATACTACGTTTTTGTTTTTATTTAACTCTTTTTTAATTACCTATTTCTTCCATATTTATAGGAACACAATCTGATGAGGCTTTACCCAAAACATTTTCAGCTTTCACTTGAAAACAAAGATTATCACCAAACGGAATATTTGGGTAATGAAATGAACATGATTCAGTTTTGCTTTCGCAGATGGAGATCTTCAGCTCCGGCATAATTGGACCTTGTACACTCATACTAAAAATTGAAAAACAGGAGAAATAACAGGAGTTATACATTAGAAGATTTTCTTACAATAACCCTCACTGATTGTTAGGTTAGGATTTAATTATTACTTATATGTTTTCAAAGTTGCACAACTTTTTTACCCAGAAAAACTTCCTTAGGTGCAAGAAAATACTGTTTCATAACTGCACTGTTTCTGTACTCACTCTACAAAAACAAGAAATAATGCATATGAATAGCCCACAGAGATTAAATTACTATGACAACTTTCAAGGAGTAGTAACGAAAAGTAAAAATTACTTAATTCACACGTTATTATTATTTTAGGTAAGAATCAAAGCAGTGAAATAATCAAGCAAGTCCACATAAGAGCTTTTATAAAAATACGTATGCAGATACAGCTCAAAACACATTCCACATTGAAAAGTTACAAGATAACAAGCTTTCCCACACCTTTTCAATACAGTATAATGAAAAGCCAAATTGTACCACTGCCAATTTCAAAGAAGGTAATTGAAATTTGACAGACGTTCCTGAAATAACACAAGTAATATACTGATCTTTCAGCATGTGCTTTCAAATAAAAGTGGAACAGGATGTAAGGCTAACAAAAATTGGTTCATTTTAAAACCTAGCAACACAGAAATTCTACAAATTAAAACTTATATATGAGGACTGTATTAAAGACTTCATATTATGCCCCAGTTATGCACATCCTTGGTATAACTCAAAAAAAAGTCTGAGATAGGTATTTAATGAATATTTTTAAGACAGCATAAGCTTGTAGTGCTGTAAAAGGAACCACAGACTGATTTATGTTGGAAGGGACTTTTAAGATCATCTAGTTCCAACACTCCTGCTACAGGCAGGGACACCTCCAACTAGACCAGGTTGGTTAAAGCCTCATCCAGCCTGGCCTTGAATGCTTCCAGGGTGGGAATTCACAACCTCACTGGGCAATCTCTTCCTATGTCTCACCACCCTCTCAGTAAGGAATTTCTTCCTAATATTTAGTCTAAATCTACCCTCTTCCAGTTTAAAACTATTTCTCTTTGTCCTGTCTCTACATGCCCTTATAAAAAGTCCCTCCCCAGCTTTCCTGTAGGCCCCTTTCAGGTACTGGAAGGCCGCAATAAGGTTCACCCAGAGCCTTCTCTTCTCCAGGCTGAAAAGCCCCACAACTCTCAGCCTGTCCTCATAGGGGAGGTACTCCAGACTTCTGATCATTATGGCCCTCCTCTGCACCTGCTCCACCAGCTCCGTGTCCCTCTTGTGCTGGGGGCCCCAGAACTGGATGTAGTACTCCAGGTGGGGTCCCACGAGAGCAGAGTAGAGAGGCAGAATCACCTCCTTTGACCTGCTGGACACACTTCTGTAGATGCAACCCAGAATACAGCTCATGTTGAATCTTCCATCAACCAACACTCCCAAAACCTTCTCCTCAGAGCTGCTCTTAAGCCATTTTCCACCCAGCCTGTATCTGTGCTTGGACAGGAAGCAATCCTCCTCTCCATAACAAGAATAACTGTTTCCATCCACAGATGTCTGCTCCCTTGTACAAGTGCTTTGTGGTCATATGGAAGACCCATAAAAAATCAGTGGTTAGATTTTACAAGAAATAGTTCTGCAATTCAATTTATTATGTGGATAAAGAGGAATATGTGCTGGTGCAGGAAAACAAAAACAGTAATAAATTTGGATGTAGTAAACTAGAAATAAAGGTGAAAGACTTAAATGCCAAGTCTAAAATGAAATAAAGTTAAAGACTTTTTCCTCCCTCATCATTTAATTGAAAAGGTATATATGTTTGCATAACTTACAAAAAGAACATATCTCCACTGAAGTAAAAATTCCTTCCAATTATCAAGAAAATTTCAGAAAATTACTCATACCAGCATACTACCTAAAGCTTTGACTAAACAGAAAAGGAGCACAACAAGCAGTATTATTAAAAAAAACAGACTAACAAATATGTTTGAGATAAAATCTGTGCAGTCACACTCAAAACTGCATCTGAGATCTGCCTTGAAACAACACTGACTTCACTGTTTTCACAGTAATTTGCAAAAAAAGTAAGCTTTTAAACAATATTTAACTGAAACTGAATGAAGCAGATACTTACGCTCTTATAATAGGGTCATAAAAACATAAAAAAGTGTGAGATTGCTGGAACAAAGGAGGTTCCACATAAATATGAGAAAAAGCTTCTTCATTGTGAGGGTACCAGAGCACTGTTACGGGCTGCCCAGAGAGGTTGCAGGTTCTCCTTCTCTGGAAACATTCAGAACTCACCTGGATGCATTCCTGTGTGACCTGATCCAAGTGTTCCTGCTCTGACAAAGGAATTGGACTAGGTGACCTCACAAAGTCCCCTCCAATCCCTGTGATTCTGTGATATTTGTAAATGCAAATCCCTGTATGTAAGCAATCCAAGAAGGACAACTCTTCCTTCAATCATTAAAACATTATGACTTCAAAGACTCCCAGGTTAAACTGTAAAACAGCTCATCATTATTTTTGCACAGTTCTGCTTTTTTTTTTCCTTCTCTCCAGCAGTTTCCTTGAAATTATAAATTTATCACTAGAAAAGATAAACAGTTATCAACTGTTCATATTTTTTTAACGCTCAGCTTTATGACATAGTAATTGTCATTTTAACATGCCTAGCCTGCAATAGATGCTGCTAAATAGCAAGCATATTTTGGTAAGCAAACAAGTAAGTTATGCAAGTTTTCAGCATCTATACAATTCAGATGAAAGGTCTGGCTTGTAATAACTATATTGCACAAAATGCTTCCAATAAGAAGAGCACCTTGAAAACTTTTGTTATTTATAGTTATTTAATATAAAATAAATAAGCCTTAAAATATCCCTAAATGTAACACATGATTACAAACAACTGTACTTGCTATCACTAGACAAAATAACAGAGACTTCAATGGTTTTAACAAGGAAATTGTTTGAAGCGCAGAAAGAACACACCTTCTTTCCTCACCCAAAATGAGGATAACTAAAAGCACAAAGGATTTCCATTTCACTTTAGCAGTGGGTTACCCTAAAAGATGATGTTTCTACTTAGGCTTACTCAACTTTTCTCTAATTAGTAATGTTACCTTGAGGAAACAAGTGAATTTAAGTTCTGATATAAACATTTGTCTACTGAGTATTAGGTTGAAAATGCTTATTACTTATACACAGAGAACTAAAACGGTATCAGGTAGTAACTTTTTTCAATCACTACCAACACAAAATTAATTGCGCTAAGAAATGCCTCTGAACTACATGATGTTTCTATGCTTCCAAGTTTACTTTAAACAGAAGTCAGAAAGTGTTGGGGTGGGAAGAATGATGACACATGACTAGTGGTCTCAATCCAGTACTCCAGTTCCTGGTACATTCTATACTTACATTTTTCTGAAAAGAGTATAATTCATTGCAAGATTTGTTTCTCTTCCTGAAGTCCAGTTACAGGTAAGCTTAATATCAACATCGTAAATGCAGGAAATATTTCTTGGTGTGTCTGGTGGAACTACAATGACAAAGGAAAAAAAATCTCATGAAAATAAGCAGCTTTAATATAGAACTTAAAATGTTAGTAGGCAGGCTGATTACACCAAACCACTACATGACTTACATAGAACTTAATTTAAGAATTTCTTATTGCCCTCAAAACCCTTCAGAAAACCAAAATCACTCTCTTTCCCAGCTAAAGCCAGGCAATTTTCTCCAGCTACTTCTCAGAAGTACTTAATTAAGCGGTCCTGAAAGAATTTTTCTACTAACTCATTAAAAAAATTCATATTAAATCAATATGCACTTCAGCCTGAACCTCTAAGTATAACCCCTTCAAAACACCTATAGCTAAATGCCAGTCCAGTTAGTAATAGAACAAAGAAACAATTAAAAAGTTCACAAAAAGAGGGCATTCTCTGAAAGACACAGTTCCACTTAGTTCCCCCTACCACATATCCTATCAAAACTGCTGATCTGAAAAGCCCTCATAACCTCTGAAAGATAACTTCCCGGGAAATGTCAAATCAATACAACTTGAAGAGACCCCCCTAATTCCAGACTCCCACTCTTTCAAGCAAGATAGCACAAAGCAATGCAATCTTTATAGTCTGAAGCCATTCACAAAAAAAAAGCAAAAAGCAACACCTTCTTGATATCTGTGTTAGAGCTAGTGTTCTTCAGTCAACAGAAGAAATGAGAGTTGAAGGGAAGACAAAGACCTCCAGTGAAATAAATTAGCTGAAAAGAGAGTTCTATGAACTCTATAAGAAGCCCTCTCTCTGAGATAATACATCTCTATTCTATTTAACAGCTCTTCAAAAGATATCCCTTTTGCTAATGTACACTCCATTTTGCTTAAGATACACTCAACTTGGAAAACAGGCAATATTTTCTGCTGTTCTTTATTCCAGGAATTTACTTCTCTGCATTATTCTTTACTAGAAGGGGATCCCCATGCAGATGTTAGTATAGCCTGGACTTAACCTGCTCAATAAATTAGAAAAAATAGTATTAATTTACCCTTCAGTCTTCTCCAGATGAGACTATAATTTTTTTTGGAACACTGGATTAGAAAGTAAACCATCCCTGGAGAAATCTAAAGTTGGCTAGGCTGGATATGAGAAACAACCAAAGAGAAAACTTGCATTGCTTTAACTGGCCAAACACCGGGTCAGAGAGGTTACGGAATTGCATGAATAAGGGTTGCCAGAAATTTCATGCTTTAGTTTAGAAAAAAAAGGAGATATTGAAGATAAGTGACTTGCAATGCCACAAGCTGGAAGGAGAGGGAAGAGCGCAGAGGGGGGGAGAGGAAGGGAGAGGAAGGGAGGGGAAGGGAAGGGAGGGGAGGGGAAGGGAGGGGAAAAGGAGGGACAGGAGGGGAGGGGAGGGGGGAGGGGAGTTGTTTTAAAAATATTTCTTCAAGTCATTCAAAAATGTTAGTTGCCCCGTATTTCTACTTACATCCAGATTTAACTTCAGTGTGAACCAGAAGTTGTTCCTTCCCTAAGTACTTAATGAAGCACTTCACATGTGCTTTGTTGTGAGTGAAATTATTGATAGTTATACTAGATACAGTCTCATTGACAATATTATAGTTTTCCTGAGCAATTAATTCACGATTCAATTTCCAGATGATGTGGCTTGCATTCCTGTGAGGTGTGTAGTGTTTTCCAAGAACACAGAATAGTTTCAGGGTGGATCCTCTTTCAATTTCAGGAGAAGAAGGAAAAATGTCAGCATCTCTAGTAGAGTTTTCATCTAAAAACAAAATTAATGTTATCATATAACCTAGTCTCTTAAAAAAATGTGAAAAAATGGTAACTTATTTTGTTATCAGTGTATATGCCCAGAGATTATTTCACTGTTTTTTTTAAACACAGTTCAAACAAAATGCTCAGATGGCACCTATGGATATATGTCAATATAGGTATTGTGCAAGAATGATGTTTCTATATCTTTGCTGTTGAAAATGTATAGCAACTGTTAGTGACTATATTGAAAAACAGTTTTGTACCTGAGAATTTGCTCTATCAAATTATGTTGTTTCACTTTCTGTGTCTGCTGTAGTTTCCATGGAAATAAGTAGGAGGCGCTACTTTTGGAGCAACCTACAGAACACTGATGAAAAATAAAACCTGTGGTTTTCCATTCAGAGCCAATAGTTACTGGTGCAAGCTTAAACTGACCATGGAACTACCATACTTCTAAAAAATAAATCAATTAATTAAAAAAAAAAAATCACACATTGTACTGTTATTGTGACTTTTAAGATCAGAGATAATGTTATCATTCAGAAATTCATGTAATGATTACTAACATTTGACGTAAACTAGATCTAAAACAGCAGACATTAACGGCTCCTCGGGTGCTCATGTATTACAAAGGTAGTAATTCGGACTATCAGCAGATCACCAAAGCTAAATCTTGACAACCCAACAAGAACTGAACCATGATGCGACTTCCAGATGCTGTGTCCTCCATCATCCTGCGCAAGAGGTAAACAGCTAACATTGCAACTTTTAAAATATTAAAAATAAAAAAAGACAAAAACTTACAGTGATTTTTTGTTTGCACACCACAAAGAGAGATCAAGAATACCGTAAGTAAATTAATCTTTCACTCTATACCGTACACTACCTAATCATCTGCTAACTCCTATATTAAAAAGTTTCTGGTTTTCATATTAATAATGCTTAAAATTTGCATTTGGCAAAGGATCCTTGCTGGGAAATTTTCTATTGGCAAAATGAGTGCTAGTAATTAGGAAACATACCTGCTATAGACCTTCTACAGAGCAAGATAAATATCCAAATCCAACAGTTGAACATTTCCTTTTTAGTAAGTATGGGCAGGAAACACTGTCAGGAAATAAAAATATTAAATAAATAAAAAGCATGTAGTTCAAGTAAAGATGCCCTTGTAACTTTACACTTTGCAAGCATTTATATGACAAGAATGATGACCCACTTATGTTCAACTTAAGTATTGCTTTGCCTAAGTGTTAGTTTTCTGCTCTCACACTTCCTGTGAGAAATCTGAAGCAGTTTTCCAGTTCTCGAGTTTTCCAGAAAGATGAAAGGGGCAAGCATATCTGAAATCCTTCTGGGCGGGACCCAGTCTGTCTTCTAATTGCAGTGTGAATCACAGAATCATAGAATATCTCTGGTTGGACCTTCAAGATCACTGAGTCCAACCATGACCTAACCATACTACCCTAACAACCCTCCACAATCATGTCCTTGAGCACCACATCCAAATGGTTTTTAAACACATGCAGGGATGGTGACTCAACCACCACCCTTGGGAGCCTATTCCAGTGCTTAACGACCCTTCCTGTAAAGAAGGGTTGTCCATCAGTACACCAAGGTCCCTTTCCATTAGGCAGCTTTCCAGCCCAAGTCTGTAGGGTTGCCTGGGGTTGTTGTGACCAAAATGCAGGACTCAACACTTGGCCCTACTGAAATACATACAGTTAACCTTGGCCCATCGATCCAGTCTATCCAGGTCCCTCTGTAGTGCCCTTCTCCCCTTAGGCAGATCAACACTGTCTCCCAACTTGGAGTCATCTGCAAACTTACTGAGGGTGCACTTAATCCCCTCATCAAGACCATTAATAAAGATGTTAAATAGAAGTGGCCCCAGTACTCGTGACCGGCCGCCAACTGGATTTAACTCCATTGACCACAACTCTTTGGGCCCGGCCATCCAGCCCGTGTTTCACCCAACAGAGCACACACCCATCCAAACCATGGGCAGCCAGCTTCTCCACGAGAATGTTGTGGGGGACTGTGTTGAAGGCTTTACTGAAGTCCAGGCAGACCACATCGACAGCCTTATCCTCATCCACTAAGCAGGTCACCTTGTCATAGAACAAAATCAGGTTTGTCAAACAGGATCTTCCATTCATAAATCCATGCTGACTGGGCCTGATCCCCTGGTTGACCTTTAACTGGTCCATGATGGCTCCTGAGATTATCCTTTCCATAACCTTCCCGGGCACCGAGGTGAGACTGATAGGTCTGTAGCTACCAGGATCACCTTCCCAGCCCTTTTTGAAGATGGGCGTCACATTTGCCAGTCTCCAGTCCGCTGGGACATCCTCAGTTAGCCAGGACTGCCAAAGGATGATGTGGAGTATCTTGGCAACCACATCTGCCAACTCCCTCAGCACTCTAGAGTGCAATCCATCTGGCCCCATGGACTTGTGAGCATCCAGCTTTTCGAGCAGGTCCAAAACCACCTCATCATAGATTATGCAGGGCCTATTCTGTTCCCTATCCCCTTCTACCAGCGCAAAGGGCTGTGTTCCCAGGGAGTAACAAGTCTTACTATTAAAGACTGAGGCATTGAAGGCATTAAGTACCTCAGCCTTGTCCTGATCCTTGGTTACCAAGTTGCCCTTATGACGAAGACTCTACCTAGCCCTTCTCTTATTGTTGATGTATTTATAGGAATATTTACTGTTGTTTTTCACCCTAGTGGCCAAGTTCAGTTCTAGCTGGACCTTGGCCTGATTTTCTCCCTGCACAGCTTCACCATGTACTTGTAATTCTCATAAGTTGCTTGCCCACTCTTCCAAAGACCATAAACTTTCCTTTTGTTCCTGAGTTCTAGCCAAAGGTTTCTGTTCAGCCAGATTGGTCTCCTCCCCCGTCAGCTTGTCTGCCGTGACTTGGAGACGATCAGCTCATGCATCTTTAAAATAACTTCCTTGAAGTATTCCCAGCCTTCGTGGGCTCCCATGCCCTCCAGAACTACCTCCCAAGGGACTCTTTCAACCGTGGACCAAAGAAAAGAGAAAAGAAAGAGACCAAAGTCTGCCCTCCAGATGTCCAAGGATTGGTAAGAAAGAGAATTACATTTATTCGAAATTTGGCCTGCCCAACTGTCCTGTAGGAGCAGACTAACTCTTAACATGGCTAAATGAAAACTGCATTCCAATTAAAAATAAAGGAAAATTGTAACAGGCAGATGACTCTTAACCACCTCTGTAGAGCACACACCAAAGGCTATGCTATGCAGTTGTGGTCAGCAGTGATGCAGTCCACAGTACTTTACTAGCTAGGTGATTAGTGATTGCAGAGCAACTAATGCACTTCAGAGGCAACTACTGATAGCAACAAAACAAAGCAAAATAATCAAGAACTCTACAAGATGATGTGCCTCATCCAAAATATAGAACAGAGGAGGAAGGATGAACCCAATACAAATCAACATTCTGCAAAAATGAATTACAGATGCTGCGCTGGCATAAGAACTTTTTTTCCCATTTCAAAAAGTTAATCATTTTATTAGATAGTTAAATAAGATGTTTTGTAACAGCTCAGTGAATATGGCTTTAATCTTGGAGGAAACACTAATTCATGAGAACACCAAATCCTGTGTGTGGCATGTGAAGATAAGCATTTATAGCTGTTTACAGGAAAGAGCTTGGGGCATTTAACATAAATGATAGAGCTCTATTATTTCTTTTTTGTAGCCTTTAATAAAATCCTGTGACAAAAGCTCAACGTGTATTCTTAATTGTAAAGACTTTGGGAAATAAAACTAATGTTAAAAACACAGTTTTTTCCTCAAAAAATAAAGCAAAAAAGAGGATAAAACTGTCACCACAGAGCAGTCATCTAGAGTGAAGCAATCTCATTGCTCTAACTAAAATGGGTAATAAGTTTTCTTATTTGTAGACTACTCAAAATATTATCTCAACCTATATGAAGAACAAAACAAGCATCTCCCCAGACAGGGCACACAAATAACTATACTACTACAGAACAAAATGCCTTCCAGCTTAGCAAATACTCCATTTATGAGAAGTTTTCAATCAATTTACACAAAATTTTTAAATAAAATTAACAGTCCATTTCAACAGAAAATGTAGCGGGAAAAAAAAACAACCCTGCAAGATGACATGGACATTTGATTTTACCTGGGAGCAATGATTCTTCTGGAAATTAAATTACTGTATTGATCACATGCAAAAAAAATGTGAGAAATAAAGAGAAGAGAGTATGAGCAGAAGAACCAACTTGGTTAAAGCTTCGAAGGATGCAAAAACTCTTAGCACAGAGAAAGAGAACAATCTGACATATTAAAAAAAATAAAAATAAAAAAGGCCTATAAAGACCTATTAAGTATGCTTCACATTTCCCACTGTAAATCTCTTTTATACCCTTGGAATTTTTCAAAATGCTAACAGTTTCTACTGAAATCTTAGCATGCCAGTTCTGTATTTTTGAAGGCACGAGACAGAGGCTGCCTTTCAACCAAAAAAGAGTTTAGGCACTTCCAAGAATAGGGAAAATATTTTCATGACCAGTCTTACCCTAGCAATCCCACACTCCCACACTCTTAATAAGCAATTGAGACTTAAAAGCACAGGGAGGTCATAAACCCATTTCCAAGTTATGCTTATGCCAAAAATATCCCAAACTACTGCAAATTCTACTGCAGTGGAACACAGTGCTAAGAAGCCCACGCATGGGAAATCCAGCTGCAATCCAGCCAGGTTACAAGCCTTCAAAATATTCTGGTTCCTTGCACTTACATAAAAGATTAAACAAAGATCAAAGATCCCATATATACTCAGCAATCTCCTTGTCCTCTACCCACATCCAGCTTTCTGTTCTGTTCTAGTGCTCCTCTAGTGCACATCACACAGTCACACACTTCCACTTGCTAAAATAACTTTGTTGTTGTTGTTGTTGTTAAGTAGCAAATATAAGTGGTTTTACAAGTACCTGAGTTTGCTGAAATAGAGAAATGCAGAGAATCTAGGGAGATCCTACAATGTTTCTTCTCCGCTGCAACCTGTTAGGTTGGTTCAGTACTGATGCTGTAACAGCACCTCTTTCTGCCTTCCCAGTTTAGCAGCTGGTTACTCAGGGTGCAAATTACAAGATGTCAGAAATCAGTGTAGCAACTCATCAGGTTACAGATCTGCTTACATCTTATGTGGTTATCACTGTAATCACACATGACTTAATAGTAGTTTGGCTGATAACTTGTTCAAGACACATGTGAAAGAATTGAAAGAACTGTCTGGTGATGAACAAGTCACACCATAAACTCAGAAATGCTTCACTTAAAGATGACCCAAAAGTAGGGGAAGAGGTTGATATACCAGAGAGCTGTGCTGCCATCCAGAGGGACCTCAACAGACTGGACAGCTTTACAGTGTTCAACAAGAAGTGCAGAGTCATTCACCTGTGGAGGAACATGTTTAAGCATCAGCACTCCTTTACCATAAGGGTGGCTGGGCACAGGATGCCCAGAAAGGCTGTGGAGACTCCTTCCAGGAGATCTCCAAAAGCCACCTGGATGTGCGTTTGGGCACCCTGATCTGGATGTCCCTGCTGGAGCTGGGGTTGAAAGAGATGGACCCAAAGGACTCTTCCAACCTCGGTCATTCTATCAGTTTGTGAAAGACAACTACAAAAGCTAAAATCAGATCAGTGAAGAAACAGCATGAACATAACTGTTTTCTTCAATAAGAGCTATTTAAAAATTTAATTCATCATAATGAAATTTCCGGCACAAAGGGGGAAACTCAATGAAGGTCACACTCAAAAAAAAAAAAAAAAAAAAAGTAATATGCTTGATAAACCTGTCGCATCAACAAAGCCTCAGGGTTTCCATTTTTAATTTTGAAATTTAAGATATTTGCAATAATTATAGCGTAAATATATGATGAAGCCAAAGGAAAAAATGACCCACAACAACTTTTTCCCATGTTTTCCATGTAGTGCTACTCCTCCAATAATATTTCCCTTCTTTCAGGATAGGAAAGCTTTTTCCATTCAAATCTAATTCTAAGATTATTTTTAACAATACAAACACATACTTCTGCACGCAATGTAGGTGTTATGCCATTAATAAAAATCACAGTACATTTATAAATTGAACTGGCAGTATGTCTTTAGCCTACACAAAACATAAGCTCTTCAAGAATTTCTAACAGTTCAAATCTAGCAAGGTACTCCTTCTTACTAATTACCAACATAATGCTTACAGCAACCCTAATACAGAAAAACTGAATAGTTGTTGGTGTCTTTTATTGAGACTTTAGTAGCAATTGTAGCATCTCCAGCCACCATAGACAGAGACAGCCTCTGTTCTATACCTCATCAGTCAATGCTGACTGCCAGGAACCCAGGCCTGAGCTATACCAGTGAATTAATGTGGAAACAGACTCATTTGGAAAAGCTGTAAACATAAGTGTCCCAAACTCCGCTATTCAAATCTGTTAGTATTTACAAAATCCAGGGGGGAACGAGGACATTTCAGGCACAGAATGCCTGAAGTTCCAAATATGAACTCCAGTCCCCTTCCTAGAAAACAGGCTGCAGAAGCATCAGCTCCCAGGACCAAATCCAAGGATGAGTATCAGTGGGTATCAGAGGAGGAAGAACAGAGATCATCTACACAGGTCAGAGCAGAAAAAAAAACAAACTGGAGGAATCAGCAGAAGTGAGGGAGAGTTTATGCCCTTTCTGACATCCGTAAGCTGTACAAATTGCACTTTGACAAGACCATTCATGGGAAAAGCAGCAGACGCCACAGCAAATGATCCTAAACACACTGGTTTCATAGCCTGTAGTCTCTAACCAAGTAGCTAGCTGAACCTCAGTCCAGGAAGAATAAGAATTAACATTTTAATATTTCAGTTAAATAGAAATTCAAGCCAAAGAAGCTGAGCACATTCTCTCTTGAAAAATAAACCTATTTGTATTTGAAATTATGCCAGTTTGCTACCATTATCTATTAAAATCACTAGAATAAATTCTTGGTATTATTCAAACAATACGGATTTATTGAGGAAACAGGAAGTTTATGGAAAAATCCAAAGGGTAATGTGGAGCAGAGCTCCTTGAAGCCACAGCAACTTGTTCCTTAGATATCATAGCAAACAATAAAAATAAAAAATGCTGCATCCAGAAAGTTCAATGACATTTTAATTTACAAGTTGTAAATTGACTGGAATCTGAAAAAGCAGGAAAGACATTTTCTTCTGTCATTCTCTAAATAGAATTAGTTAAATAAAAAATAGGAACAACATGATAAGATACTTTTGTTCAAAAATTCTGAATGACGTGTTGGCCAGGCAAGGTCAGTTCCGTCAATAACTGCAGATAATATTACTTTGTTTAGCATACATTAGAGTTACAAATGATAAACTTGTTCTGAGAAACCCTTTTCTTTGGTATAGAACATTATTTAGCAGCATATTAACACATTTTGATATAAAATGTTGTATATGATATTAAGGTCACTTTTTTTTTTTTTTTTTCATTTTAAGTACACAATCAGATAGAATTTGAGAAATATCTCTAAAAGAATGGCCAGGACAACAATACTACCCTAAGTGACTGTTGGCAATTACCAGAGAGAACTAGAGATATTGACACTGCAGGTCATTCTTTGTTTTTATCCATGAAAAAAGAAGAAACTTTTGAGTACTGTTTTAAATAGACCTTGTGTACAGGTTTGATCTGGAAGTTTTCTTCTTAGCTTTACTGTTTGAGGAACCACAAATGTTAGCGTATACACTGAGAGATTATTTTGTCACATATCTCCAGTCCATAGCCCATTACTAGATAAGGTAGTCGCCTTTGTACTCTTTCCTTGGGCACAGTCACTCAAAGGAAGGTGGATAGCAGGACAGAACAGACATCTCTGCCAGATGAGAAATGTGGATGGCTCCTGCAGAAGGATTCATGCATTGCCCTTTAAATAAAGGTAGAACTCTCACGAACAGAGAGGTTTTTTCACAAGCCAGATCCAAATCCCTTTCTTACCTCCCAAATCTGGGAACTGTTTTAATTTGAAGTTCATGAGAGATACACGTCAGGCCATACATAAGAGGGAAGATTTTCTGTACTACTTCAAAGCGTTTGTCCACTGTGCACAACCTTGCAGTTGCTACCCACCACAGTGCTACGCATGTTACAGGAACAGGGAGGACCATGCAGGTAAACCTGCGCTCTCACAGATAGAAGAGGAAAAGAGAACAAGAGAATAAAAATGTAACTTTAAGAAAAGATGACCATGACTGTGCAGTTTACCAACCCTCATACCACAGCTATTCTAAAAAAGAGATTCAATCAGTATTCTAGATTGTTATAAACTCATCTTGCAGACACGGTTCATAATGAGTTTTGCATTTGTACAACTCACTGCAATACTTTATCCTGTTTTTTTGTAATTAATTTGGAATATAGATAATATGCGCCATTTCATCCTGAATCTTTTGTAGAGTGGTTAAGAAGCTGACCTTGCATTTCCAAACATCCCTTTGCTTTTCCATATGCGGATACCTAAATGTACTCATATCAACTTCACATGACGGTAAAAATTACGCTCTGTTTCACAGCCTTCCTACCCATTGGACAAACTCTTCAAGTAGTTGGAGCTGGACACGGAGGAAGCAGGCATTCATGCAGACTCTGCTGCATGAACGCAGCACGTGTATGATGTAACAGGGAAACCTCTGCACAGCTCATCTTCACCAGATCCTTCATCTTCCTCTGTGGGGCACCAGATCCCCTCACTCATCACGTTAAGGAATACAAGAGCCCCACCAGGCTCTTAGCACCCTTCCCACTACTGAATGTCTGAGCACACCATCCTCTGTCCCCAGCAGAGGAGGCAGCTCTCTGTTCTACTGAGTATACTCTGTGCTTTGATTCCAAGTGTTATCTAACAAAGAACAAGTCTGGATGACACAACAAAATGCTGACCACCTTGCTAACACGGCGCATCCATACAACCCATTTTTCTTCTGTTTACTACTAACACAGTAAACTCATCCCAACAATACTATCATATTTCAGCTCAAAGTGCTGGCTGACAGAACTACAGAACGAAACCAACTACTACAATCAACTCGATCTGGAGGTCTGCCAGTACAACAGTTTTTTACTTGAAGATGCTACACGTCCCAAGAATGCAAAAAATCATCCATCGGATTCACAGTTACAACAATAGACCAAGTCAACGCTAACTAACATTCAGACTGAACCCCAGCCGACTGCTCCGTGCTCTGCCTAGGGAACCAAGTAACGAAGCCTCTCAGAAACAGAGCTCAGAAGTTGTGCTCAGGCTTTTTTAGGCGTCTATTTTAACAGCTGGCACACAGACGCCACAGACGCGCGGTGCCCCGCTCTGCGTGCAGGCGATACCTGTGACAGATCCGAAACAGGAAACGACGACGGCTCTCGGGGCACAAAGCGTGCGCGCACAGACACAGCGCGGGGCCGCGTCTCAGCAGCCCGAAACACGTCGGGTAAAGCCACTGCCGAGCGTTACGCGTTCTTTCCCGAAGCAAGCAAGCCGGCAGCTCAGCCACGACTCTCAGCTCTCACGTCCCGGGGCGTCAGAGAAACAACCGCCACCGCCGCGCGGCGCGGCTGCAGCGTGCGACGGCCCCGCGGCGCCGGGCCGGCTCCTCCCGCCGAAAGCGCCGGGACCTACCGCGGCGGAGCCCGGCTCGGCTCCGGGCGGCCAAGGGATCTCACACAATAGGAAGTCGGCGGGTGCGGCGCGGCTACGCTTTTTCCTGTAACCCTGAGAGAAGGCGGCCCGCCGCGGCGAGCTGCTCCCCTCGCCGCCGCGACAGAAGAGCGAGCTCCCGCCTGGCGGAGCCCCCCGGGCCCGGAGCCGCCTCCCGCCTCCCGCCCGCCCTCACCACCTGCCGGGCCGGGGCAGATACCGACCCAGCAGTGTCCCACCCGGCCGCGGCTTCCGCAGCTGTCGATGGTGGGCGCGCTGGCACCCATCTGACGCTGCTTCCAAAGCGCTTAAGTACATCAGCGCTGTAACGCGTGTTGATACACACCGTCTTTAAATTGCATCAACGTGTGCAGTGAAACAAGAGGGCTGGGTCATGGCCGCTGATGAACGCTCAGGGACGCGCCTCATGCATTATTTAGGTCATCGGTGCCGTTTGGAATAAATACGATCCCCTTCAAAGCTTGCAGATGCGTGCCAACTAATGACGGCCATCAGCCACATAAAACGGAATAAAAGGAACAGGAGTTGGAAGGAAGATTGCAATTATGCGAGATGCTGTGCAAATGGAATGACATAGTCCCCAGAAATATGCGTCCACAACCCTTTCTAAGAAGACTTTCCCTGAGAACAGATAATGCACTTTTGTAATCAATGCCGATGCCATCCAGCAGTCTTGCCCCTGGCCAGAAGAGATCCCTGCTAGTTTGACGTGTTAATGTTGGATTAGCTTCCCCGGGAAGTCAGAGCAGACAAGAAGCCACTGCCCATGCAGATGCAGGAGGCTGTTTTGAAGCCGGTGAGGTCAGAGCTAGAACCCGTAACAGATTCACCTGGCCCTAGCTCAGGCCCACCACCGCTGCCTGTCACATACTGATCTGGATTCAGAGACGGATGCTATCTGGGAGATGTGCTGCCTCTCTGTCCGTGGCTGCTCACTGTCATCAGTGTTTCCCCAGCATGCCTCCACCCCATGTCCCCCATCTCCAGGACCTGTCCCTAGTCAGGATGCTCACTCTCCCTGCTTTTCCCAGTCCAACAGTCTATGTGCAGAAATGGGACCAGCCTGCTAAGGGGGGATCATACCTATTTATCAGAGAAGTAAATAAATGCTGTTTTGTTTAGTTTTGGTGTTTAAAGAAGTCACAACCAGCCCACACATCTGTAGCAAGCAAGCTGCAGACCTGTTCATATCAGTTTCCAACACTCTGTCTGCACATCTGCACAATTTGGAGCATGTAAAAGACAGGCAACAAAGCTCATGGAAGGTCTGGAGCACACATCATACAAGGAGTGGCTGAAGGAACTGGGATTGTTCAGTCTGGAGAAGAGGAGGCTCAGGGGAGACCTTATTGCTCTCTACAACTACCTGAAGGGAGGTTGTGGTGAGGTGGGGGGCAGCCTCTTTTTACAGGTAACAAAAATAGGAAGAGAGGTCTTATATTGCTCCAGGGGAGATTCAGGTTGGATATTAGGAAATACTTCTCAGAAAGAGAGATGAGGTATTGGAACAGGCTGCCCTGAGTGACCTTGGAGGTTTTTCCTAGAGGTTTTCAAGCAAAGGGTAGCTGTCACATGGAGTGACATGGTCTAGAGTGACTATAGACATGGACTGATGATTGGACTACATGATCTTACTAGTCTTTCTAAACTTAATGGTTCTGTGATTCCACGAATCTGCTACCTGTCAGCAATTTAAGCTGCAATTGCTTTTTTTTTCCCTCTGCAAATATACAATGCCACTACTTTCTCCTGATTCCAGTTGGAAAATGAGCAGGCTGATTGACCGAATAAAATCCTCCAAGTAAAAACCCAACACTTCAGGCCATGCTGTTGGTATGCTGGTGTGCCATCTAGCTCCTGTTTGTTCATCTTTTTCCTGCAGAGGAGCCATTTACACTCTGCACCTGAGCATCCACTTCAACTTTCAGAGCAGCCCTGAGCCTTCACTTCTTCAGCCAACTCCCCATATCCACCATCTCAGAGGGTAGCCTACTGATTCTCCTATTAGTTTTGAAACAGTGTTGCCATCTCTTAATCATCTGTTTCTCATCTGGTAAAACTGCACTGCACTGATGTTTCCCGTGCTATTAACAGAAATTTTAATAAGTTGGTACCACAATATTTTGAAATTTCCCCTCTATTTTGCTATTAGATATAAAACAGAACTGTGATGAAGCAAAAAGATTAAGACTATAACCTACACTCTCCTTGATTCTGCAAGACCTTTGATGTGTTCCCATAGTACATCCTTATGTCTAAATTGGAGCGATATGGTTCGAAGAGAGGAACTATTCGATGCATAAGGAACTGGTTGGATGGCCACAGCCAAAGCGTTGTGGTAAATGACCGCTGAGATGGAAGCTGATCACGAATGGTGTCCTCCAGGCATCCATCGTAGGACTGGTACTCTTGAGCATCTTTATCAATTACAAAAATGATGGGATTGAGCATAGCCACAGCAAGTTTCCACACAACACCAGCCTAAGTGGTGAGTTGATATGGCAGAGGAAAGGATGCCATCCAAAGGGACCTTGGCAAAAGGTGGGACCATATCAACCTAGTGAAGTTTAACAAGGCCCAGTACAAGGTGTTGCATTTGGATCAGGGCAATCCCAGATGTGTATACAGACTGGGGTAAGAACTTGAGAGTAGCCCTGCCAAGAAGGACTTAGGGTCCAGGTAAATGAAAAACTTAACATGAGTCAGCACTATGCACTTGATGTCCAGAAGGCCAGTGCATCAAAGAGGGATGGACAGCTGTGAGAAGGAGATGATTGTCACTCTCTGCTCTCATGGGGTCCATCTGCAGTAGTGCACCCTGGACTGGGGACCCCAAATCAAGGACACAGAGCTTTTGAGAAGGGCCCAGAGCAGGGCCATGAGGGTGATCAGAACGCTGGAGCACCTCTCCTGTGAAGGCAGGATGAGGGTGCTGGGCTTGTTCAGCCTGGAGAGGAGAAGGATCTGGGGAGACTTCTCCTTCGAATATTTAAAGGATGATTATAAACTTTTTACACAGGTGGATAATGATAGGACAAGGGAAAATGGTTTTAAACTGAAGGAGGGGAGAGTTAGATTAGATGTCAGGGAGAAGGTTTTCACAGAGAGAGCGGTGAGGTGCTTGAACAATCTGCTCAGAGAGGTTGTGGATGCCTGTCCCTAGAGGTGTTCAAGGCCAGGTTGGATGGGGCTGTCAGCAGCCTGATCTAGTTGTTGGCAAGCCTGCCTACACTGGGAGGTTGGAACTTCCCTTCCAACCCAAATCATTCTGTAATTCTATAACTCTTTTTCACATTGTTTGCTCAGGAACCTTGAACTTGACCTATTATTTGCCTGTATCAACATATTAGTACAGTACATTGTTTTTTTAACTTACATTACTTAAAAGATGTTTTAAAGTAATATGAAAAATTATACCAGACCTAATAAAAGTAGTTACTCACTTGCTAAACATTTTAAAATTTCCAGCCATCCTTCTGACTGCCTGAAGACTAGGTACATGCTCTAATTAAAGCTTCCTTTGTTTAAAATGTTTTCATGGAGGCTGTAGCACTTAGGACATTCCAGGATGCAGAGGACACTTAATGAAAGCAGCAATAACTGTTCCAGTTACCACCATCTGTAATGATTTAATAGGAGAGGGAAAATGCATCTTACAGAAAAAAAAAAGTTGATGTGATTTACCAAAAATGATTTGCCATAGAAGTCTGGAAACCTTTAGAGTATAACAGTAATCATGCCAAAAGATGTGTTGTCACACTGACACTTGGGGGTGCTTTTATGCTTTTTGTGCTAGTGTTTTAAAGGACAAACTCTTCTGCTGTGAGGATGGGAGAAGAGCGAAGCTGCTATTCCTGGAACTTCAGGGAAGAAAATACTCTTGAAAGGAAGACTCAGTGTTTTGACTGTATTCTCTTCTGCTCCTGTGTTCTTTTGGCTAGTGAGCTGGCAGTTCATGGATGGCTGCTTCAGAGACTGAAGGACAGATCTCAGGTGCTACTCCTTAGAGGAAGGAATGTGTGCTGCCCATATAGGTAGAATGAGACAGGACACTGAAGAACTACTGCTAAAATCTGATCCTGATCACCCATTAATTTTTTACATCACAATAGCTCTGTTTGATACTTTGAGAAGTATTTATCTTCTGTATTATCGCCACATGCTATAAAGATATTAATCACTGCACACTTACTGTGAGCCTGTATGAATTAACATTTGGCACAGAACAGAGAATTGTGCAATTATCTGGGAAAATGAGGTGCATTTTCACTGTAATTTGACCTTGCAGAATTTAAAGGTGCGCTCTTGATAAAAGCAAGCATGACACAAAACAGAGTTTTCATTAAGTTGGTTTTAACTCTGAAATGGTTGAACATGCACTGATGTATTAGGAAAAGTGTGTGTGAGAAGGGGACAATGAAAGTTATGTAACTTTTTCTAAAAGTCACCCCAATATGTGAGAAATCACCAGGCATTGGGAATTGTGATTTTTGGAAGCACTTAAAACCTTTGCCTCATTAAGTTGCATGTACATCAACTTTTGCCCCATACAACTGGAATGCAAAACTTACAAAATCAACGAAACCACACTTCCATCTATTTCCATTCTGCCTACAGGTATCCAGCTCCCAGCCCTTACGGCAATACTTTTTTTTTTCTTCTATGTTGCTATGGAGGCATCTCAGTAAGACCTTGATGAACCATTCTCTTGAAAGCCATTCTTTCCCCACACTTGGGGTAGGGTATTGACTAATTCAAATACCAAAGCCATCATTTCATCTTCCCATGAACTTGCGATCATAATGTAATTGCAGGAGGAAGCAGAAAAACATGGTATCATCAGTTTGTAAAGGAATCTTTGTTTACATTATTAAGCCAACTTGAATTACAGCATGCTAATATGGCTTGTATAAGAAGACTCAATTAACAAAGACTTGATTTTACTGTTGTAGCAGTAATGCCACAATCCTTGTGGACAGATTTTGTAGCTGGAAAAGAATTAGCATAAAAGCAGTTTGTACCTTACTGTTTTAATATTTTTTCACCAGAAGTGTAGTTCCTAAATATAGCCTATTTCATGCTTCTCACTACTAAAAGGACAATGGTGCATATTTGAAAAAAAGACTTTCCTGGTATTCACAACGGAAAATAAAACCAGTAGTTTTCACTCACAGTTAGAAAGTTTAAGTGCTTGAGAACATACAGCTTAATTGCACGGTAACATACAAATGGATATAATTTCAGATTTGGTGGATCAGCATGACGGGAGATGGGTAGCATGATGGTAAAAGTCACAGTGAAAACTGAGCTTGCATTTACAGTACTTCATAATGAGATCACAAAAAATACATGACTGCATAGCAATAATGCATGATGGAAAGGATCATTTTAAGAATAATACTGTTCCTGTCTGTAACAGGATAAAATTTAATTCTGCATATGAAGATGTACTATTATCATTTTGTAAAAGCTACAGCTCTAAAGCAATACAGGCCCACAAAAGATGGCAATGCCCACAGTCTCACCTTTGTCCCACTGATAATTCTGACTCACTGCTGGTGCCAGTACTAGTCTCTGTACAAGCTAACTCTGTGCTGTATC